TAATGGTTTACAACCGAAACATAACCTAAAGTCAGGGATATGAAAGTCCTCAGTAGCTTGCTTTACGTTAGGCATGAGACCGATATATCAAAACGTAACTAATAACGTTATGTTATCAAATATCATATCATATCGATAAACCTAAGAACATAACCGTTATCACATATCCAACCAAAACCCAAAATCAACTAACCAACGTACGAAACGTAAAACGCAAACTGTAACGATATGCCAAAAACCGAAAACGGCCCAAAACCAAAACTAGCCGATGCCCTTTGATATTCGTTGTTTCTCGTTCTAGCGACAGTATCATAAATGCGTATGAAAGAGATGAAGCGAATATGAATTTCGTTGCGATGTTTTGGTTGTCATCATAAAACGGTGCACGTAGTGAAATATAATTATAAGTATCTTAACAATAAGGTCGAATTTTAAATGGTTAAAATTGCCAATTTTTGTAAGTTTGTTTAGTTATGAGAGTTGTCAGATTTAAATGATCTTTAGGACTTTAGGCATTAGACTTTGTTTTGTTTGATCACATTATATTTGGTTTAGGCAACTTTTGTTTATGTGAAAGTTTAGAATTTGATTTTTTTTTTCAAACTTAACAATAATACGCACTTGACATTGGTGGCGTGTGCCGTTCACTATGAAACTATCTGTAAAATTATTAATTTTTGACGTTGCGATTGTGCATTAATTTGTAATATTTGTTTGCATTTTGTACATTTGTTTTAAAACTTTCCTGCTAGTCCTAAGCCTAGTTAAGTATATGAAGGTAAATCGCCAACTTAAATAATCATTATAAAAAATAATGATTATTAATATAATCATTATTTTTTATAATGATTGAGATTTATAATGATTGAGAATGAGAATAGAAAGAATGTAATTTTAGACATTTATAATACTATATTACTGCATAACAATCATAAATTATATATTAACATACATGTCTAAATATTACATGTAAGATTATATTAGAGCCTCTGACTTTAAACTAAAATAATCGTAGTAATTCGTAAAATAAATGTTGCACTCGTTCTACAGTTTTCGGCATAGATAATATACTATATAGGGCATAGATGAGCCACTCTGAAAAATAATTAGGTGACGAAACGAGGAAAGTTTCTTCTGCGCTTTTATAGATGGCGTAGGGATTATAAATTACTGAAAATTACACTAGAGGGCGCTATCACCTAGGTTCAGTATTATTTCGTACATATTTCAATAAAGTTAAAAGGATTAATTTAATTTAAATATTATCTAATTTGTTTTAAATAACTATTCATTATGTTTGTTTGAGAAAACCATGGTGTAAATTGCTTCGTTAATTTACAAAGAATTATTCTATATATATATATATATATATATATATATATATACCGGTGTATTTCAAAACTTTGCTAGCATGATTTAGGCTACGATATAAATAATAAATACACACAGTGGCGCCATCTTTTAATAAATTATGTAAAAATATCGGGAAAAAATGTACTTTTACTGTGAGATGGCACTAGTATCAACGTAAAGCAAGCTACTGAGGACTTTCATATCCCTGACTTTAGGTTATGTTTCGGTTGTAAACCATTACTACTGATATCGATATTTGAAAACGGTTTTCAATACCGATATGAAAACTAAATATCAGTTATACAACCGTTGCAGCTAAAAACTGAAAACGCCCATGCTTACTTTACGTTGATACTAGTGCCATCTCACAGTAAAAGTACATTTTTTCCCGATATTTTTACATAATTTATTAAAAGATGGCGCCACTGTGTGTATTTATTATTTATATCGTAGCCTAAATCATGCTAGCAAAGTTTTGAAATACACCGGTATATATATATATATATATATATATATATATATATATATATATATATATATATATATATATATAGAATAATTCTTTGTAAATTAACGAAGCAATTTACACCATGGTTTTCTCAAACAAACATAATGAATAGTTATTTAAAACAAATTAGATAATATTTAAATTAAATTAATCCTTTTAACTTTATTGAAATATGTACGAAATAATACTGAACCTAGGTGATAGCGCCCTCTAGTGTAATTTTCAGTAATTTATAATCCCTACGCCATCTATAAAAGCGCAGAAGAAACTTTCCTCGTTTCGTCACCTAATTATTTTTCAGAGTGGCTCATCTATGCCCTATATAGTATATTATCTATGCCGAAAACTGTAGAACGAGTGCAACATTTATTTTACGAATTACTACGATTATTTTAGTTTAAAGTCAGAGGCTCTAATATAATCTTACATGTAATATTTAGACATGTATGTTAATATATAATTTATGATTGTTATGCAGTAATATAGTATTATAAATGTCTAAAATTACATTCTTTCTATTCTCATTCTCAATCATTATAAATCTCAATCATTATAAAAAATAATGATTATATTAATAATCATTATTTTTTATAATGATTATTTAAGTTGGCGATTTACCTTCATATACTTAACTAGGCTTAGGACTAGCAGGAAAGTTTTAAAACAAATGTACAAAATGCAAACAAATATTACAAATTAATGCACAATCGCAACGTCAAAAATTAATAATTTTACAGATAGTTTCATAGTGAACGGCACACGCCACCAATGTCAAGTGCGTATTATTGTTAAGTTTGAAAAAAAAAATCAAATTCTAAACTTTCACATAAACAAAAGTTGCCTAAACCAAATATAATGTGATCAAACAAAACAAAGTCTAATGCCTAAAGTCCTAAAGATCATTTAAATCTGACAACTCTCATAACTAAACAAACTTACAAAAATTGGCAATTTTAACCATTTAAAATTCGACCTTATTGTTAAGATACTTATAATTATATTTCACTACGTGCACCGTTTTATGATAACAACCAAAACATCGCAACGAAATTCATATTCGCTTCATCTCTTTCATACGCATTTATGATACTGTCGCTAGAACGAGAAACAACGAATATCAAAGGGCATCGGCTAGTTTTGGTTTTGGGCCGTTTTCGGTTTTTGGCATATCGTTACAGTTTGCGTTTTACGTTTCGTACGTTGGTTAGTTGATTTTGGGTTTTGGTTGGATATGTGATAACGGTTATGTTCTTAGGTTTATCGATATGATATGATATTTGATAACATAACGTTATTAGTTACGTTTTGATATATCGGTCTCATGCTTAGTGCAGACCACAGACTAATATGATACTAACGTACGTGCAGACTAATAGCAGGGTACGGTATTAGTGTTCTGTTCTGTGAATAGCAGTGTACAAAGTTAATTTTTATCTAATTTAGTCTTTTTATCAATATAGCATTTGGGATTGAAAAAATGGCCCATTTAATACTTCCTAATTTGCGTAGAAGCTTAAGCAGCCCCAAAAGCATCGGTATTATTCAAACAGCTGCTTACCATGCAAACGTGAGTTTGTTTTTGATACGCATTAGCGCAGTCAAGGCTTATTGATTTTTGTTATCTAATTTGTTTGGATGTGAATATCATAATATATTTTATAGGTTATTGATCACTATGAGAATCCACGAAATGTTGGATCATTGGATAAAAAAGACAAAAATGTTGGTACTGGTCTAGTTGGGGCTCCTGCGTGTGGAGATGTGATGAAGCTTCAAATTAAAGTTGATGAAAATGGAAAGATTATTGATGCAAAATTCAAAACCTTTGGATGCGGTTCTGCTATTGCTTCCAGTTCGCTCGCTACGGAATGGGTTAAGGGTAAAACTGTGGATGAGGCTCTTAAGCTAAAAAATACTGATATAGCCAAAGAATTGTCACTTCCTCCAGTGAAACTACATTGTTCAAGTAAGTATAATAATCTTTTTACTTTTCTGTTTTAACTAGTTTTATCCATATTGATTTTAACAATTGGAAGGAGTTTTGATTAATTACCCCATTACTGTTGCTATAGGAGTGGTAAGGGAGATTGGAGAATACCTGAAATAGTGTACTAAATGACCTACAATCGATTGTATGGGAGAGGGTGCCAAAAAAACATTCATTATATATGTGCCTTTCAAACCGTCCTGATGTGTGAACGAGTGAGGAAAAGAAGGGTTAAGGAGTGGAGGGCATACTCTTGAGATGTGAAAAAAAAAAACAACTTTGGCTAGAACACCCCAGCTGCGCTTCAACCTACATATTTTTACAAAGTTAACAGAAGTCATTGTTAGTTATATTATTCAAAAGCAACCTAATTACACCTAATTTTCATCACACAAGTCCACTGGTGAACATAGGTCTCACCCAAAGAATGCCACATAGCACGGACCTGAGCCACCTGCATCCATCTACTTCCTGCATGTCTTACCTAGTCGTCACTCCATCTAGTTCTACACTTCGTCTGCCGGTTGAGGTCGCCACTAGAGAACCTTTTTTCCCTCACTTAATATACCCCCATGATTAAAGTTACACCTAATTTTACCATGAATAAATTAAATATATATTTCAATAATAAAAATTTTAAGAATTTGAAATGATGTCCCAAATTTTTTTGGTAATTGTATAAGTTTTTATAGCTTCCTGGTCTCCACAGAATTATTTAACATGAAATTAATTTTACAGTGCTTGCTGAAGATGCTATAAAAGCTGCTTTATCAGACTACAGGATCAAACAACAGGACAAAAATGAATAATGGGCAAGGGAAGTGGAAGTTTTGGAACAGATCTTTGATTGAAATATGAATAAGGATGCAATGGAATGAAAAAAAAATGTTTTAGGTATAGAAGAGTTAATTAAAGCTAATTAGTGGTAGTTACCATTCTTTATCAGTGTCTAAATTCTATTTCAAATTAATGTTCTGGAAAATTCCATTAGTAACATAAGATTTCCTTAGCTTCAAAATAGCTATTATTCATCCTGTGATATCCAAATGTAATATTTATGTATGCAAATGAAATAAATATAAACCAATTAAACAGTTGTTTTATTACTAATATATAACTTTTATAGAAAATGCAGTATTTATTTAAGATTTTTTATTGTGTAACAATGCCAAGTTTTTGTAGTGCCAATTGAGCTGCATCTGCTTTTGCTTGTTTTTTATTTGCACTGGCAACAGCTGGTTGATATTCAACCCCTGCTACTTTTACCTGCAAAACAAAATTATATATCATTTCAATAAAATATAGTCTTACAAGGGCCGATTTTGCAATTGTCATGTAAAAGTTTATTTATCAAATAAACATGTTTTATTTTCACACCAAGTATAAAAAGGTGGACTTAACACAACATTCTCTACCAGTCTACCTCCAGGCCAAGCAGAGAAGATAACTTAGCTTAATAATAACGACAACACATACTAAGATACATATTGTTACAAGCTTGTGGTTCGAGACAATTAAAAACAGCAGAGTAAATTACCAAAATTGACACTTAATTACAATTTAAAACCACACTAATAATAAAACAATTGTACTACTGATCACTTTAGTTCGCAGTTATTTCGCTTCGAAGTATTCTCTTGTATCACCAATTCAATAATCCCCCGGTCGTTGTCTATACCTGCCTTATATAGGGCCTCAGATAGTTTTTAGAACCTTCTACTGTAGAAACATCTAGTATGTACGAGTACATATCGGTCCCGAAATTTCTAGAAGGATCTTGACTCTCCTAGTTCTGCTACTCGATACTAGAGGGCGCTAGTGGTAACTAGTGCTGCCATGTACAAGACATTAATAGTGGCGCGCAACAATATTATAAGCATATTCACACACACACACACACACATTATATACAATATATATAACAATATATATGTATCTTTACTTAATATTACCTATACATATACATACGTGTACATACATCTATACATATAATAAATCAGAAAAGTCTGTAATTCTTATTCTAGAAAAAAAACAAGTCTAGGGGACTAAATAAAGGATTCTGAAGCCAAATTAGTTGTTTTTAGAATTTTTGTGTCTGTCTGTGTATTACTGTGTAATACAAAAACTACTGAACCTATTCACATGAAATTAGGTAGGTAGGTAGTTAGTAACCCGGGGCAACTTATAGGCTACTTTTTATCCGATTACGGAACTTCAAAAAAAGAAAGTTAAGTATTTTCCTTCCTTAAGATGTTAATTTTCTATTATACTCGTATCTTAGTTATAGGCGGGATGACGGGACGGACGGGGTTTTTCAAATTAATACCTTGGTAAAATAATTTGAATCGGTGTACGATTCAGTTATCAAAAAAGCGCCATCTATCATCAAATGGAAAAAGTGGTATATTTTGCCTTCAGTTACTAATAAATTAAATAATATAAACTTATATTGATATGTTTAAATAATAAGATTTTTAAAATTATTTACAAATTCTAACGTTTAACGTTTTAGTACTTTTTATTTTATTTTAAAAGCATAATAATTTCTATAGATTATAGTGACGTCTATTAAAAATATGAAAATTGATAAGGTTTTTATTTCAATTACTAATCTACATGTAATTGATTAAAATTGTTCTGTCTGCATTTATTGCAGAATTTTCATTATCATTATAGTTTTATCAAAGAGATTTTTATAGCGGCGCTGATAGCGTATTTTTTAACAGAAACAGAAGTTTTAACAGAAATGACATCACTTTATGCCTTATTGATATAATAAATAAATGTTCGCTTCTATCGCTGATATTATATTATAGTTTTGGCTTTCATGATTTCATCTAATAATAGCGCTATCTACTTACTTATAAATAAACTAAAATGGTAAGTCTGATAAAATTAAATAATATAATGCCACTGAATATACGATGTATATAATTGAAAGTTCATTCGTGGCATCGTTGGATGTGTAATTATTAGGTAAATGTGGTCAACAATCATGCAAAAGCTTAGTTTCAGTTTTTCTGAATTATATTTATTTAAACAAATACGAGGGCCGTGTAGCTTGCCGTGAGATTTCATCATGGCACGGGAGCAAAACGTGTACGATTACCTAGAAGATGAATCTGTTATATAAAATTTTACGTGCTGACTTAACACGTGTCCGTTAAAGTAGTGAAGAATAATTTCGTGTGGAAATCTAGATGTCCGAGTAATTAAAATAGTCGTGGAGATGTAAATTTTTAATATGCATTGAATTTCAGTTTTATTTTGAAATTCAGTGCCTAGTATACTGCCATGAAGTGGACGATATGAATGACAAGCTCGTGGAAACTGTCCATGCGGTCGGAGCTATGTTCTGCAAGACCCGCCGCAGAAGAACACAAAAACTCTCCGATCACACTCTTAATCTCATGGCTGTTAGACAGGAGATGAAGCTAAAGTCTTCAAAAGATTTGACAGCATACAGGTATGCGGCGGGACTTACGCAACTTCAATACATTTTTTATTGAAGAAGCGATCGAGCGGAACCAAGGCTCCAAAGTCTTTGCCAGAGATCTGTCTGCCAGAAAGAGCCAACTGTCAAAGCTGAAGACCGAATGTGGCAGCATTATTTCCGGGACACCTGAGAAAACGGCAAGGCCCCAGGTGAAGATGAAATTACAGCGGAGCTTTTGAAAGCGGGTGGAAAACCGGTACTTGAAGTCCTTTAGAAGCTCTTTAATTCCGTCCTCCATGGTGGCACTACTCCGGAGGCGTGTAGCAGAAGTGCGGTGGTCTTGTTCTTTAAGAAAGACGACAACGCTCTCTTGAAGAACTACAGACCGATTTCCGTTCTGTACCGCGTCTACGTGCTTTTTTTCGAGAGTCATTACGAATCGTGTCGCACACAGACTTGACGACTTCCAGCCTCCCGAACAAGCCGGTTTCCGACAAGGCTTTAGTACCATAGACCACATACACAAACTTCGGCAAATTGTACAGTAGACAGAAGAGTATAATCTGCCACTTTGCCTTGCGTATGTAGACTATGAGAAAGCCTTTGATTCCGTCGAAATTTGGGCGGTGCTTCAGTCCCTTCAGCGGTGCCAAGTTGACTGTCGGTATATCGAAGTGCTGAAGTGTTTGTACAGTAGGGCTAAGATGGTTATCCGAGTACAGAATCAGAGTACGAAACCTATCCAACTGCAGAGAGGTGTAAGAACAGGGTGACGTTATATCCCCGAAACTCTTTACCGCTGCATTGGAAGACGTTTTCAAGCTACTGGACTGGAAAGGATGCGGTATTAACATCAATGGCGAGTACATCACTCACTTTCGATTTGCCGACGATATAGTCCTTATGGCAGAATCGCTGGAGGAACTAAGCACTATGCTCAATGACCTCAATAGTATCTCCCAACGGATAGGTCTTAAGATGAACATGGATAAAACAAAGATCATGTTTAATGTCCATGTCACAGCTATGCCGGTAGTTGTTGGGAGTACTAAGCTCAAAGTTGTTGATGAGTATGTTTACTTGGGACACATAGTCCGACTAGGTAAGTCCAACTTCGACCGAGAGGTCAATTGGCGGATTCAACTCGGCTGAGCAGCGTTCGGGAAACTACGACACATCTTCTCGTCAGGTATACCTCAAAACCTGAAAACGAAATTGTACAACCAGTGCGTGATGCCAGTGATGACTTACGGATCTGAGACGTGGTCCTTCACTGCTGGCCGTATGAGGAAGCTCAAGGTCGCTCAGCGAGCTATGGAGGGCTATGCTCGGGGTTTTCCTGCATGATAAACTTAGAAATGAGGATATCCCCAGTAGAACCAGAGTAACCGACATATACCAACGGATTAGTAAGCTGAGGTGGCAGTGGGCCGGCCACATAGCTCGAAGAACCGACAACCGATGGGGAAGGAAGGTTCTCGAGTGGCAGCCTCGTACCGGTAGGCGAAGTGTAGGGCGACCCCCCCACTAGATGGAGTGACGATCTGGTAAGACACGCAGGAAGTCGATGGATGCAGGTGGCTCAGGCCCGTGCTATGTGGCATTCCTTGGGGGAAGCCTATGTTCAGCAGTGGACTTATGAAGGGCTGTAATGATGATGCATTGAATCATAGCAGCATACTCTATTTTTCTGCCGACAAAACACTATATGTAATGAGGAGACCTGTGCACAGTAGTAAGACGTATATTCGTTGCTACTTTACTTTTTTACCTATAATGAGACTTAGACAGCGGTTAGTAATTTAAGATAGCTTTCATATCTTCAGACATATTAAGATATTTGCGACAGTCCTGGTTTCATAGCTCATATGAGTTATAAGTATATGTAAATGAACAGGCTCAACCTCCTTTCTTTAATTAAAGTATTTATCCGCAAGAAAAAAGCTTTTATTGAAGAAACGAACTTTTACTTAAACAAAGGTTGAAACGTATCATACTGTTACGAGCTTGTGGTTCGAGACAACTAAAAACTGCCGATTGAATTACCAAAATTGACACTTTAATTACACAACACTAATTACAATCTAAAACCACACTAATAATAAAACACAATCACTTTAGTTTGCAGTTATTTCGCTTCGAAGTATTCTCTTGTATCGCCAATTCAATACTGCCTTGGTCGTGGTCTATACCGGTCTTATATAGGGCCTCAGATAGTTTCCAGAACCTTCTACTGTGGCGACATCTAGAATGTTCGAGTACATATCGGTCCCGAAATTTCTGGAAGGATGTTGACTCTCCTAGTTCTGCTACTCAACACTAGAGGTGCTAGTGGTAACTAGTGTTGCCATGTACAAGACATTAATAGTGGCGCGCAACAATACTAAAAAATATTTCATGGTGTAGGACTGAAAAAAAAACTATGTAATAGCGGACTTATATTCATGTAAGTTTTTTTTTGTAGATAATTGGTATTATTGTTTTGGTTTTTTAAATAAAATAATAATGAATTTACTTTGTTTTATTTTTTATTATACAAAAAAATTAGTTATTCTAGTATATACAAAAAGAAGCAAATGTATTACTTTTTTAGTTCTTTTTTAAATAAAACTTACAAAAATAAAACATTTTGTTTGGTTTTGTTGAGAAAAACTTATAAGTGCCTTTGTACAAAATATCTTTATTTTTTTTTTCATTGTAACATTACTTTGTGTGTACATAAATTGTTAAATAAATAAATAACATAATAATACATTTGCTTCTTTTTGTATATACTAGAATAACTAATTTTTTTGGATAATAAAAAATAAAACAAAGTAAATTCATTATTATTTTGTTTAAAAAACCAAAACAATAATACCAATTTTCTACAAAAAAGTCTTACATGAATGTAAGTTCGCGATTACGTACTTTTTTCAATCCTACACCATGAAATATTTTTAGTATGATACTTTTCAACCTTTGTTTAAGTAAAAGCTCCTTTCTTTAATTAAAGTATTTTTCTTGCGGATAAATACTTTAATTAAAGAAAGGAGGTTGAGCCTGTTCATTTACATATACTTATAAATCATATGAGCTATGAAACCAGGACTGTCGCAAATATCTTAATATGTCTGAAGATATGAAAGCTATCTTAAATTACTAACCGCTGTCTAAGTCTCATTAAAGGTAAAAAAGTAAAGTAGCAACGAATATAAGTCTTACTACTGTGCACAGGGCTCCTCATTACATATAGTGTTTTGTCGGCAGAAAAATAGAGTATGTTGCTATGATTCAATGCATCATCATTACAGCTCTTCATAAGTCCACTGCTGAACATAGGCTTCCCCCAAGGAATGCCACAAAGCACGGTCCTGAGCCACCTGCATCCATCGACTTCCTGCGTGTCTTATTAGATCGTCACTCCATCTAGTGGGGGGTCGCCCTACACTTCGCCTACCGGTAAGCGGCTGCCAATCGATAACCTTTCTTCCCCATTGGTTGTAGGTTCTTCGAGCTATATGGCCGGCCCACTGCCACCACAGCTTACTAATCCGTTGGGTTATGTCGGTTACTCTGGTTCTACTGCGGATATCCTCATTTCTTAATAACTTGAGCATAGTTAGGCGTCACTTCTATAAGAAGGAAGTGACGCCTAACAATGCTCATGTTATTGTAAGAACGCGCCCTCACGCACATCAAAAATAATTTGCAACCAACAGCATGATTTTAGGAGTTCATGTGTGCGTAAGTGCGTTTTCTTATAATAAGTTTCGCATGGTTTCGATGTCATTTGAAATGTAACTAGTGTTTATTTTTTACTAGCCCGCCAGGCAGACGTTGTTCTGCTCTTTCCGACGACCCTTGCTATGAAAAAATCCTTAAATTCGCAATAAAAAAATATTGAAGGTCATTTATCGGGATAAAAAGTACCCTATCTCTCAAGGAGGACCAAAATGCACACAGTGTTAAAAATTTCATTGAAATCAGTACAGTAGTTTAGGAGTCCATCGCGGACAAGCAACGTGACAGATAATTTTTATATAAGCCAGGAATTGATTATAATCCTACTTGCTGGTAAGTGGTAATAAAGCCGTAGATGGTACGAGTAAATCGCATTGTCTTAAGAGTAACAAAAGCCTTTACTGCCTTAAATACTCCCAGATTGTAATTGGAGGGAAAGACGCCCGCATATTATTCCACTCCTTTACTGTACCTACGCATTGCGAAAGACGAAGCATACCGTTTGTTTCGAATGCGTAGAATATCGATAACAAAAGGGTGAAGACCCGCCGAACGCCTGGTTGTCCGATAGTGGAAAGGGGAGGGAGGAGTTAAGGCATGTGTTTCCTGCCCACACAATACCGAGAGGCTGGTTACTCTGTAGCTGTGCACGAGGCTGAAAGGATCGGTTTTAACTAAATCAAGGTTACCAAATAAGCATCTTAGCACGTCTATTCACTAAGTCCAACGCTGCTAGGTGGCATTTTGCAGCAAACCGCCTATAGTTGAGGTTTGGAGAAATCTCAAACCCTAACAACTAAAGGCTGTTAGTGTACTCCAAAAATACATTCTAAAAAGAGTAAGAGCCAGGGTGAGCAGGCTCCTTTTAGCAGTGATATAGCCTAATATATTAGTGAATGATAGCCCCACTCGGAGACTTCTCACTGCCTGCAGTGAGATTCGCAGGATCAACCATAGTTTCTTTTTCGGACTGGATTTGATTCCGACTGGCCCGAAGAATCGGCTGGTACCTCTTCATAACGGTGTTGTCGTCTGCACACCCGTAGATACTGGGCATAAATAAGCAGATTATTAGTATGCAGCAGGAAGAGAGTTCCGGAGACAACGGACCCCTCAGCAACTACGGCGTTTGTCGCCACAGGATTAGACGAACAGCCATCGACAACGACTCGGAGAGACCATTCATTTAGAAAGCCCTTCAACCAGTCAATCAGGCACGGCACAGTACAGCGGCTATTTTTAGGTATAGGCTAGCTTTTGGGCACTATAACAGTCCAAAATGAGAGGCAGAACAAGCACGTTAACACATGAGACAACTCAGGCGTACAAGCCTTTAGAACTATGGCTGGTATACCATCTGGTCCACTAGCTTTGTTCACGTTTAGACTACGCAAGGTTTTAAGAACTTGCTTGTTGATGATGGGGACCTAAAACATAGAGGTACCACAGTTGGGTAATTGAGGTGGTACGCTGTTGCTACCGTCTTAAACGCATATTACAATCTAAAAGAGAAGCAAACGAGTCCGCATTCTCCTTAGCCGCATGCGCCAGTGAATGTCTGGTTTTACCAGCGGGGGCAGTGTAGACCGTCAGAAGTTTGTCTCGATCGCTTTGGCGAGAGACCGAAAAGCTCTACTGCCAGATGGTTTGACAGATGAAATTGGCTTGAAATAATGCCTTTTTACAGGACTTGGCTGTTTGGTTAAAGGCTCTTTTCTTATTGCTAACATCCGGAGTTTTGTGTTCTCGAGCATCGACCCAGAATAAATACGCCATATACTGAGCTTTTTAGCATGGGCGCTTTTGACGTTAAACCATGAGCGAGTTTTACCACAGATGGGTACGTCAGCAAAGAGGAGGAATTACTTCATCTTGACGTATCACATTGTTAATAGAATCCGTGCAGTTCGACGGATCTTCAGACGAGTAGCAGACCTGACGCCAAGAATACGATGTAAAGAAATGCGGCATCTTATCCCAATCTACTGACTTGTATCGCCATATTCGCCGCACAATTTGGAAATTAGTTAGGTGGAAATATAACGACATAAATTTTGCCAGACGGTGGTCAGAAGTTCACAAGGAGGAGGTAACCTGTCCGGATCGGTGGTCAGAAGAAGGTTGAGGTTTTATCTATGTTATATGCAGAGACAGTTAGATGAATTTCAGATTCAAACTGATAGTTTTAATTCGGACAGGGTTATTCCAATGACACGCACAACTCAAGACGACATATTAAATGCAATTTTGTGGAAAAAGCGTTGCTATTACTTTTTAAGCAAATTTTATTAATTGTATAATTTTTTAATTTAATAAGTTGCTCTCGGAATAGGCATTTGTATTGTATCCTGGAGGTGTATCTTATACAAAAATTACACACGGCCAAACAGTTAGACAGTAATTATTTGTAAACAATATAAATAATTATTTTTGTGGTTTGGACCACTTCCACTTCAACTTGTTTCACGAATGATTATTCAAAAAAGCTACATTTGTGTGTATAAGCAAATCACAAAAAATTAGCTGGAGTTTCACCAAGTGACAAAAACCGCAAGTATAAATTGAATTATTTCGTGCGAGAATCGAACTCGTGGCCTGCAGCGCCGCAATCGAACTTAGCTACTAGTGCGCTATTGAAGTGTCAAATTTTTTGTTTGATTAAAAGTAGCAAATTGTTTATTTTTATTATATTATTTCTAGGGGTAAACAGACAACTGTGTTGGTTGCAGTAGCCACTTACCATGAGTTTGTCATTTTAACAATACAAACAAAGTTAACTAAAACTAAGTTTAAATCTTAACACAAGAAAAGAAGTTTGGTTGTTTATCAATAACTAGCGAGTTAGACTCTCTACGAAATTTTTGGAAAATTTTTGTTGTTTCTTTTTAACTATTGATGACTTAATATATAATAAGTAGGTAAAAGTACAAACCTTGAACAAAAAGTTCTTTTTATGGTCAGGTCCACATTCAAAACACAAATTGTACTCAGGTGGGCCCAGTTTCTGTTTGGAGCAGTATTCTCCCAGGAGTGACACCGGATGCTTCCCACCGGCTACGAGTGGGGCTGGACCACGACGGCTTGGTCGCTGGGGCTTTATCTTAAAAAATATGTTTATTTAAAAATCACACATCTAACGAACATACAGCCTTTTAAAAAATTACATATAGCCTATTTTACAGAAACTGCAGGGTAAAGGTATTAATTTCTGTTAGTTAAATACTAGAGTAATTACTCCACCGGACTTCATATATCCTTCATTCTTTTAATTTCTCTGACCTTAGGTGCTTTCGTAATGTTTTCCTTCACAGCCGAGCATGGTGGTAAGTTAGCATTTAATATCGCAATTAAAAATAATTTCAAATATGCTAGCGGGGAATATGAACTGAGTTGCTTGCATACGTGTGCATATTAATGAAAACACATATTTTAAACGCATGTATGTGTTAAATTTTATTTAATCATTCATGCATTCATTAATTTTATGTGGTAGAGGCATGCTGCAGCTAGATTAATAGTATAGTTGTAACACGAATGGGACGGCTCGACCGGGGAAGGACCACGCTCTCACAGAATACCAGCGTAAAATAGCAGATGCTAGTTAGTTAGCTAGTGCTAGTAGCTATGGTGAGTGTAGAGAACCAGAGACCCATTTTACTGGAAAAGGGGCATTCTATCTTAGACCTCACGGCTGACAACGCATCTGCATTTTAATTCGCAAACGAAGATAGATGTAGATGTCTAAGAGCCATAGCAACTACTTACCATCAGGTGGACTGTGTGCTCGTTTGTCACCCTTCAATTCTATAAAAAAAGATACCGCCTATAAGTTCACTGCCGCTCATGGGTCCCGTGGGTGGCGAAAGAGGCAACAAAGCGACTTCAAAAATGGATAGCGGCATCTTTCTAATTATAATTCAAAATAATAAACAAGTAGGATGCGGCAAGTAAAGACTGTGTAAGAACCTCCGAAGGAGGCGGAGTTATAGCCGAAATAAGAATTTAAATTTTTTGGTTTTTGGCCATTTTGAACCCCTAGGAGTGTAATGAGAACTTTTTGCCCCTATTCAACCATGACTACAATGACATCCTCTACATGATAGGCTATTCAAAATGACTATGCCTAAAGTTCGAGCCACCCCCCAATTTTTGGCTTTTGACCATATTGATCCCCTAGGAGTGTAATGAGAACTTTTTGCCCCTATACAACCGTGACCTACATGACATCCTCTACGTGATAGGCTATTCAAACTAACTGGGCCTAAAGTTCGAATCACCCCCAACTCATTTCTAGTCTTTATTTCCAACAAGTGGGATGCGGGAAGTAAAGACTGTGTAAGAACCTCCAAAGGAGGTTATAGCCGAAATAAGAATTTTAAATTTTTTGGTTTTTGGCCATTTTGATCCCCTAGGAGTGTAATGAGAACTTTTTGCCCCTTATTCAACCATGACCCCCATGACATCCTTTACATGATAGGCTATTCAAACTAACTAGGCCTAAAGTTCGAGTCACCCCCAACTCATTTTTAGTCTTTACTTCCGACTATTGCGGTTGCCACCCCACCTGCCAAGCGTAGCAGCTATAAGAAATATCCCCCCCTATGAGGCAAAATGTTTAGTAGACTTTTGATAGGCTGTTATGAATGAAAACATAATTTATTTCTCGTGCAGATATAAAATGGGATTGTAAATGACGTCGACACTATTCAACTCTCGCTTGCACACTGTCTCGCTCTATATTCATAACCGCCGGTAATGATCACAAAAGAATAACATTATTCATTTGTTGCAAGAAACTTTTTGCCTTTTATTGCTTCTAACTTTTGGCCCAAATAACAAGAAAGTAACCGTACAATATACTTTTATTTTAAGTATCAAATTGTTTTTAGTAATCTCAATGAATGAACATTACTTAATTATTTGCGAATTGATTTATCTCCCGCGTCCCTATTATAATATTCAGTTAATAAATTAATTTTATTACAAAATTCCATTGACAATTTTTTTTAATAACTAAACATTCCCAAATAAATTAAAATAACGTTTAGCCCTACTTTCGTTTCTGGTACCGTGTACGCTGACTGTACAGACTCGATGAGACGCCATTTCTAATCACATTCTTTATCCGCTCGGGTAATACACACAATTATGATGTGTCTTTTGTTGTTTTTTTAAATATACTGTATTTATATATTTTGTTAGTTTTTAAATATACTTACACCTTTTACCGGTCTAGTTCTGACCTCCTCTTTCGACTGTAGACCTCTAGTATCCAACTTGACCTCGAGAAGCAATGGTTGAAGTGTTCCGGTGCCTTCTTTACCCAGACCTTGGCCTGGAGTCCATCCCATTTTTTGCAGCAAATGCATGCCCATGCCGCCTTCTACAGGCGCGGCCCGTACCAGTTGGTCCTATGCATTTACATATAAATATTAATAACTGAAAAATATTAATGCAATATAGATATACCTCCGTACTACTGCAGGTAGTTAAGAAATTGCAACTCTATTAATTGGGTTTTAGTGGTTATAATTGATATTATGAAAGTTATCGTATATATAAGCTAAAATTACACTCATTATATAATAGTACAACTTAATGTCAAAATAATATGGATATATTCTAAAATACAATATTATTAAACTTTTAGCCATCAATGACAGGCCACTTCGTAATTTCTTTGAAGTAATTATGCAGTAATTCTTTATTAGTACACACAAATATAATACATATTATTTACGAGATAAGTACAAAAAAATATTATTGTTAAGTTTGATAAGATCTCCAATTTAAAATCCATTCTAGTACAAAAAACTGCAATTCATATCAAAAGCAACATTAAATCTCTTTAAATAACGTGGAAAATAGTAAGTACATTTTGACAATTTACTATTAATGCTTCAGTCAATATATCTTTTCCTTTCCCAACTTTTGATACTTACCTCCTCAATGATTGGGAACATGAGTAAGCATTGCGCATATCATCGGCGAACCGTGTCCCATCTAACGAAGTGCCCGCGTCTCCTTATCACTTAAAAGCTGCAACAAATATTCAAGAAATCCCCTAATAAGCAGTGTTTTTCTGAGAGCTGACGAGAGGTAATTAAAACAGTTTTTGTATCTCAGCAGCTCAAAGAATCACGCGGCTTTCAATAATGTGTGTGAAATGACTGACTTTTCATAGAACTTTCATACTTTAGAGAGTCCTTATGACGTTTAAGTGACATTGCGTTTTGTTATGCCTCGCGAATTAGCACAAAATTCTACAGTATGATGATGCGTTACGTTGCTAAGTGCGGTACATTGTTAAATTCTTGGGAGATTTTGACGACAGCTTATCCCAACGGATAGTTTATGACTTAGTATATACTATAAAACTGAGATTTATATCGCCATCGATCTTCTCTGCTTATCGTTCTTTGGTGGCAATCTCTAATCTGTGCGACTATTTGACCACAGGCTAATGTGTGTGTTTACTTATACTAATAGTTCACATGTGGAGACATTTGATGCTGCAAAATTGCACCACTATCAAAATCCACTGCAAACTATTATTTAAACAATAATACAGGAGCAACAATCTGTTAAGTGGCAAGTTCCCGCCAAAACTCATAAGTTATATTGAGTAAAAACGTAACAAAGAAAATCAATTGGTCATTGTGCAAAATTTTATATTTGCAACAAAATAAAGATAAAAAAGTTTAACGAATCTTTTGAGCAACTTTAATTTTTTTTATATTGTCTGTATCATGTAAATAAGTAAGGAAAATATAATGAAAGTATGCATAAGTCTTAATATGCAACTAATTATAAAACTTTGAACACCTTTTTAAATAAGGTTTCTAAAGTAATTTCAAATACTGTCATTTCATAAAGATTTGGTTTGATATTTTTGTCAAACTAAAGAAAAAAAGTCAGTCGTATTTTGAAAAATTAAAGGGGAAAACTGAATATTTGTATGCTTATTGGTGCTAGTGATAATTAATATGCCATAGAAAATGGCATAAGAATTACCACGCGTTTAGGGCTCGGTAAATGTGCGGTGTAAAGAGCGAACTGATTAGTTCTTTCTTTACACAAAGCCGAAAATAGTACGAATTAAAAAAAAAATGGTTATAACAACATTGCGGTATGTTAATTGATTTATTTAATAATGTGCCGTAATATAGACAACTGATGATATTACAGTAAGCTATGAAACAAAAAAAAGAAGATATTTCACTAAAAATAACATCAGTTGTCAAAGTATTAATTCAAGATGCTCCTTTCTAACAAAATTATGATAATATAATGGCATAAACGTGTTTGATATTTATAAGAAAGAAAAAGAAGTTTGCCGCCATTTTGTGACGTTATAACTGTCACCTTAACTTCACTCGTGTATGATTGAATCGCAGAATAGTTTAATGCTGCTGTGTGACCCTTTATAGTGGTAAAACCTTTAAGTGGTGACAGCACATCTGCATTTTGATTTTTAATTGATGATAGATGTAGATGTCCAGGGAACACACACAGCGTCCATTTGTCATCAGGTGGACTGTTTGCCAGTTTGTCCCCTTTATTTTATTTAAAAATAAATAAGTATGTTATTACTCTAATGGTAGAAAAACGGTGTGCAAAATATGAAATACCAAAAAAAATAATAATCAAAGTGTTTCATTTGTTGGCAGGGATATTAATTTAATAAATATATGTGTACAGTAACTAATCGGATTTTTTGAAGCAACAATATAGTAATTTAGGCAAATAATGGTTCGACATCCCAAACGCGAAATTTTGCTTTTAAAGCAATGTTGTTATAACCATTAAAATGTGAATACACAAGGTCAGAAAGAATAATACGTGTGTATTATAAGTTCTGACCGGGCGCCCGCGCTGGATCATCGCGTGATGACGCTAATGCCGACCACAGACGCTTTCAGCTGAAAGAAAAGTCATTGAAACGCTTAAAGTATTGAATGAAACCGATAGATGTGGAATGCTCTCGTAATATAAAAACCGGCTAACAAGATCTCAATAGTTAAAAATTTTGTACAACCGACTTCAATATAAATTATTAAGAATAACTCAAAGCTATTGGTCAGACCTTGATGAAATTTATAAGATACTACATGAGATGAGAAGCACCAGCTTTCAAATAAAAAAAAACCGGCCAAGTGCGAGTCGGACTCGCGCACCGAGGGTTCCGAACAAATCGGTAGGTATATAGTTTAAAATTATTAAAAATATTTTTATTATATGATGTAACTAAAAATTTATGCTTTTCGCAATTTTTCCTTTATCCGTGCTATAATACGTTGCTTCGTACCAAATTTTAAGATTCTAAGTTCACGGGAAGTACCCTGTAGGTTTTGATTCCCTTGCGAATATCGAAAATTTGCGGCATAAACGGCTGTATCTTTTGAGTGCGTTGGCTTAGAAGTTTGATTTTTTCACAGCTCTAAGGGACAGTAGACATGAGTATTTAATATGAATTTCAGCTTGATACCTCCACGCGTTCCTGAGAAAAAGGGTCTTGACAGACAGACAGACAGACGGACAACAAAGTGATCCTATAAGGGTCCCGTTTTTTCCTTTTGAGGTACGGAACCCTAAAAAGAATCATCGAATTCGATGCACCTAGAAAAAAGCTATGAGGTAATACACACAAAAAAAGAAAAAAAAAAACATACAGTCGAATTGAGTACCGTCTCTTTTTTTGTTTGAATTAATTGAAATTCACGGTAGTTCTTATAATCATTTCGTGATTTTTGATCTTTGATGTGTCATTTTTTCATTTTCATTATTCTGTGTTACATAAAGCTTCCAATATTAAAGTCCATTATCTACTTACAATCATTAAATAAATGTGAGGAGGAAAAGGTCTTCCAGAAATTAACAGTACCATTTATGATTCACAATAATTATCTATACGTTTATTACCGAATTTATATTACGTTAGAACTCACATCAGGTTTCATTTTATACTTTAAAAGATAATTGAATTTTGCTAGCTCAGTCATCACTAAACCCGCATATTTTTATAAACAAAACGAGTATAGTCATAAGATCTTAGCATGACAGTGTCGTGATATCGTGATGACTCAGCTAAAACTTTGAAAATACCAATAATGTCAAAAATTCTGAAAAAATTTAAAGCATTTTTGAGCTTTTTACGCTTCTAGTGGGGTATACCTTCTTAGCCCAGGCTTGTGTACCGCTCGCCAGTTCCCTTGGAGTTAGAATCTGAGCGCCAGTTGTTCCTGTGAACTGGCCTAATGAAGAATCCTTCGACGTCCAACCGAACTACAAAAGAAAATTAATTATATATTATTTTTATGAAGCTATACTTTTTCATATTAATTTTTATAAAGATTTCTTATGTTTACGCAAATACTAGACATTGAACAAAACGAATTTACAGATTGAGGTGTTCGACATCCTGACGTCATAACTATGGAGAACGATCTTGAAGTATTGAAATCTTGCAAGTGGTATGCTTGGGTTTGGATTTAATTTTTTTAATCATAGATGATAGAACTCAGCCATCTTTTCTATCTAAATTATTGTTTTTTTTATATTATTAGCCTCATAAATCATTCCAGGTTTTTCTTTTTATAGGAGCGGGGCCAAACGAGCATACGGCTCACCTGATACTAAGTGACTACCGCCGCACATGAACAACTGTAACACTAGGGGAATTGCAGCTGCGTCGCCAGCCTTTTAGGAAGGAGTAAGCTCTTTTCTTGAAGGTCCCTAAATCGTATCGGTCCGGAAAAACCGCCAGTGGTAAACTATTCCACAGAGAGGTCGTACGAGGAAGAAAATTCATAGTAAAACGTACAGTGGTGGACCGCCAAGCATCCAGATGGTGTGGATGGTATCGGGAGTTTTGCCGCGTTGTGCGTTCGTGAAATTAGGCGGGTAGGATTAAGCGCTGTGCGCTGATGTGCGGTCAAGTGAGAGGAGCTGGCACTGGGGAACCCCAGCCCAGAAATGGGAACACTATTCCATGTGAGGCCGAACCTGCACCTTGTAAAGTAGCAGGCGGTGTGCCGGCATGAAATACTGTCCCGCTCTGCTAAGCACGCCTAGTTTTTAAGGGGCCAATTGCGCCTTTTCTTCCAAATGACCACGAAACTGCACATCATTCGATGTTTCGACGCCGAGGATTCAGATAATAGTTAAGGCAACAAGGGAAGTGCCTTGAAACTGAGGAGATACGACAAAGGCGTTCTTTTTAGCGGTAAACGCGCAAACTTGTGTCTTCTGAGGATTAAACTGGACTAGATTTAGTCGCCCCCAATCCGAGACTTTGTTCAGCAAAGACTCGACTTCAGACACAAGTTTGTTCCGGTACTCGGCGACGTTTTCCCGAGAAATATTGGCACGGCCGGTGTATAGAGCATCACCAGTGCTGTCATCCGCATAGCAATGAATGTTGCCGGTTTGCAACATATTATTGATATGCAGAAGAAACAGCGTAGGTGTAGGTAGGCACGCAGCCTTGTGGAACATCGGCTTTAATAGGCTTGTAATCAAAGCATGCACCGTCTACTACGACCTTGATGCTCCGAGCTGCAAGAAAGCTGCTGATTTAATTGTACAATTTCTCGGGAAGCCCATAGAAAGGAAGCTTCGAAAGAAGCGCTTTGTGCCAAACCCGATCAAAGGCCTTATTGCGATAGATATATATATATATATATATATATATATATATATATATATATATATATATATAATATATAATATATATAATATATATATATTGGGGGAGGGGGGGGGGGTAGTACCACCCCGGCTCGAACCGGTCCATAGGTGCAACAGCAAAAGCCGCAGCGTGGCTCTACCACTGTTGCCGGTGGGCGCTGGACCACAAATCATCGTAAAGAACATTTTACGATGATTTGTGGTGTTTATCAAATTTGGGGAGTAGGCCAAGATGAGTTTCTGCGATACATATCTGAATGTTACGGTCTACGCGTTCTATCTTGGCCGGGCTGTTGGCTTTCCGAGACATTTGTGCTTGTACAGGAAGCAGAAGTCGATAGAGATGTGCGACCTCACATTCGCTCCAAAGATCGCTTAGGGAAACAGTTTGTTTTGTCATTATCGAATGTGGAATAAATTGAAAATTATTATTATAATTAAAATATCTTTATGTATTTCGATAAAACAAGAGTATCTTATAAATAATTACGAGAAACGATTTGAATAGAGTAAATACAGTATATTAGCATAGAGCATAGACAATAAATTCTTTCAGTAACCCTCAAAGTATAAATTTTTCAATAAAATATTCAATGCACATCAACATAATCACTGTATTTATAACGACATGTTACATTTACGTACCAATGAACTATAAAAATCTATACAAATAAATAAAATTGAAGTGTCTGTTTGTAATGTCAAAATTACAGTTTTTTTTATTAATTGCATATGAAAGTAAATACGGTACCTATAATTAAAATATAATTTTTAAAATTTTTGTCTGTCTGTCTGTTTGTACCGGGTAATCTCCGAAACGGCTGGACCGATTTTGACGGGACTTTCACTGACAGATAGCTGATTTCACAAGGAGTAACTTTAACCTTAACTTTAACCCTAATTATTTTTATTTCAGAAAAAATAATTAGGGTTCCGCGCACAAATATAAAAACCCTAACACGCGAGCGAAGTCGCGGGGAACAGCTAGTATAAAATAAAGTCGAATCATAATCGATTATTTACGTAATTGTGCGTATTCGCATCTCTAGTTTTAGTTACCGCCCTCTTGTCACCATTTTGTTCCTAATGCCGCGTCACCACCAAAGAAAAGTTACCAACTTTTGTGTTGTCAACACGTGTTGGTGACAAAAGTTTCTGTACAGGTCCCGTCACGTAAAAAGAACGATGCGCGACAGTGGAGGGGGTGTGTCTGCGCATGGTTACAGTCGCGTTCTAAAGTACTACATGGTACTAGGCTATTGTTTTATAATATAATAGTAATTAATTGTTTTATTGTAGAATTATAATAGGTACTTTCCTAGCTACTTAGAACTTTGGAAGAGGTTGGAATTAAAAATGGATAATGTTTACTTGAGCATTATTTTTTATTTCTGTCGTAAACTATAAAGTATACTAGTAAGTAAGTAAGTAGTAAACTATTTGTAACAAGAAAACTTAAGCTAAGGGTGAGCCGCTGTCCATTATATTGTCTTGGGTCACATGGAAGCCAGATGTCGACGGTGTGCTGGTGTTACTGGATGCTACTTCATCATCACTTTCATCTTCGCTTGAGCTTCCGTTATCAGAATCATCATCATCAATGCGAATGATAAATGTTTCCGTCATCAGGTAAACCACATGGTAATTTTTTCGGTATTCTTCCTCAATACTTTACTGCACAACTTTTCGTTCTCTAGTTCAGTCATAAAACAATAGATATAAACAATTTTTCTTTCCTTCCTTTTTAAAACCATCGTCGCGCGTCGTGCATAGAAAGCTATGAGTGCGACTGTATTTTTGGGAGCGAAAAAAGCGCGGGAATAATGACGAACCAATAGCGTGCGCGCGCAGTAATACTGGCGAACATTACCCCGTCGCGCCCCCTTCGTACCACCATTTTGATCGATCAATCGCTCAGTGCGCAGGTACAAGGCCAGGGTTCTTTTTACGTGACGGGACCTATAATTACTTAGTGTTGGCAACAAAAATTGTAAACAATGTTGGGAACCGTGTTTCCATTTTCGGCGGTTACATCGGGAATACGCTTATTGCAAGCATTTGTTCGCTCTGTGAAGACGCTTGTTTGACTAGTTTCAATTCGGTGTGGAAACAACGGAAACAAAAGTTCGTGACTTTTGTCGAGTTGCAAACAGTTGCAAACAATTTTGGTGGATACGCGCCTTAAAAACTTTATCTGCGCAGTCACTCGCGACTAATTTCAGCCCGGCCACGCCTCTGTCAATCTTGCTCTACCTGCGTGGCGTAAATACCTACAATCGCACGAAAGGTTCAGGTTCAATCAGGTTACATACGCAGTCGTGACTAGCGCGTTTTAGTCGATCACGTCAAATTTAGGATTATTTCTCACTCTTGAGTATCATAACCGTTATTTTAGACGGTAAAAAATATCAGACATATTAAAGTACAACAGTTCTAAATTAAAAGATACTATACGTACTGTATTTTTTTACTCATAGAATTATTACGTACAGAATCCTAGTACGCGCACCGAAAGTGAAGCATGTAAAACTAACGCAAAAATCGCGTAAGTTTTTTACGTGGTAGAGCCATAGTAATATAGTTATAGCACGAATGGGTCGGCTCGACCGGGGAAGGACCACGCTCTCACAGAATACCTGCGTAAAATAGTAGCTTAACGCTGCTGTGTTTCGTATGGTGAGTGTAGAGAACCGAAGACCCTTTTTACTGGAAATGAGGCATTCCATCTTAGACCTCACGGTTGACATTTTGATTTGTAATAGAGGATAGATGTAGATGTCTATGGGCCGCAGCAACCACTTACCATCAGGTGGACTGTGTGCCCGTTTGTCACCCTTATCCTATAAAAAAAGTTCACGCATTCGTATTACGGAGAAGAGCTCGCGACAAATTGTAAAAATGACTTAAAATATTGTCATAACAGTGATGACAAACATAAAAAAGTAATGGTATTACATTTCAGAGATAATTTCATATTATTTCATTGATTATTATTACGTAAATCACACGTAAAACCAAAAAAATACTAAAGCTATTATGATAGCAATGTTGCTGCTAGTAGTGAGGAAAAAATTGCACAGTTTTCCTTTAAAAATCTTTTTTTTCTATTATCTATTTAAAACGTTAAATCGCAACGCTGTGTGTAAAACTCAAACATTTATATGTAGATACCTACTTATCTAAGTATTAACATAATATTAATAATTGGTGCCTCATGGGTGCCTATTTGAAACTAATATGGAGTATCAGCTGAGAGCGATCCATTGACGCCATTTTTACGCAACTGTTTTATTTTCTTAACTTATTTTCATTGACCAAGTAAAAGTTTTAGACTATAGAATAAAGACCTTTTTATTTACTGTCAGTTAAAAGCGGGTAACTTTAAAATTCAAATTTCAGCGTGTATATCAAAGATCCTCCTCCTTTTTTGAAGTCGGTTAAAATTAAATATACACGATGTCCTTATTTAAAACTTGTTTTGTTGTTCTTGTTTACAACTTAAATTTTATTACGTCTGCATTTTTGTACCATTAAAATATGTATAATAAAGTTATGTTAGTACCATCATTATCGTGTATATTTTATTCCATTTTATATTCTCATAAAATACGTCTTCGTACGTAATACATAATCTTTATTTGATCGATTTCTTTTTTTTTTTAAACATTACCCCCATACTAGGATTATGTCCTGTATCATGGAGGCAGTTTACAAGCATAAATTGCACAAGGACAAACATTCAGACCCGGAACAATTTTTTGCAGGCCATACAAATACTTGTTCCGTGCGGGATTCAAACCCGCGGCCCCCAGCGCAGCAACTCATTGCTAAGCCACTGCGCCACGAAACCGTCAAATTAATATTATTTTATTGATTAATAATAATTAATCAATAAAATAGTGAATTGCACAATTCGATTGCAAACGTCAGAAACTGGTATCACTGAATGCCGTGTTTGTGTGCGTCATAACGAGCGTAGGCACATTCGACTCGTGCATACTAACATAATAACCTTGCGTCACTATGACGCTCGTGTTTGTATTTTACTATTTGTTGAAAGCCCTTGGTAACCACGAAATATCGTCCGTGACGTAGGAAGGGGAAAAGATGCAAAGCCATACATACGGTCACTCACGTGCAGCGATAAAGTTTAATTTAGCTTGCATACTTGATTTATCTTATTAATAATAATTATGTAGGCTATTAAAACGTCGGCACGTAGTCAACATCAAAGAAGTGCAACTTCTGTACGTAGTACTATTATTTATTCTGTGGCCCGACCAAGATAACAGTTACTTGATTTAGGGATGATTTCATTTATTTTCACTTTTTTATAGCGTTAAAGGTCGTAGAATGTCATCTTGGCTAACCCCGCTGATGTAATGTTAAAAAACAATTAAAAACTCTAACATATTTCTTGTAGCATAAAATATAAAGCAAAAGTTCAAACGGTTCGAAGTACCGCCAATAATTTTCGAGAATGACAGCTCGGTCTTACCGAGTGTTGTACAAGTGCATGTATCGCCTACAATTCATTGTCTCTGGAGTCTGTGCATTTATTTTTGTGCAAGTTATATATGTAAAACATCACCACGATACAGGGGGAAATTCTCCTGTGGGCATTATTATAATAATGTTATATAATATTAATATATATATATCTTTTATATATATATATATATATATATATATATATATATATATATACATATATATATATATATATATATATATATATATATATATATATATATATATAATTAGGGAGCAACATTTACAGAGTGGGGGTAGTTTGCGTTAGCAAGATATCTAGCATAGTGTTAAGTATCAGTAAAATCTTCTTTCTTGTAATAAAATCCAAGTAACATATTCTTGATAAGGCATATAACCATGGGTGATTAAAGAAACGATTATAAGTTACCATGCTTTCCCGTGAGCAAAGCCGAGGAGATTGATTTACTTAGCCATAATATACTTACCCCCCGTGTACTACATAGCTCATTTTCCTCTTGTTCCTTCCGTATCAAAGACAATTTCTGCGACACAATTGACTCCACGTCCTGATAAATAAAGAAATGTAATTACTATATGTAACGTAAAGTAATATATTATTAATAACTCGACATACTCACGCACGCGCGCGCGCGCACACACACACACCCACACCCCCACTCACACACACACAGACAGACAGACAGACAGAGACACACACACACGCGCGCGCGCGCGCACGCACCCACACACACACACACACACACACACACATACTCATGCTCACGCACACTATTATATGATCATACAGGCATAAAGATAATGAAAAAGAATACTAACAGCTTTAGGAGATTCGATTCCTGGTGGGTATGCCTGCGGACCCGGAGCTGGCAGGGCAGGGACGGAAGACAATTCTTGAAACAAAAAAAAAACTTATTACAAATTGTTTTTGTCGTTGAAATTAGTTTATAATTTTACGGATTTTATCGCGTTTAATTTGACTTCGTGAAAAAATCCGTAAAGCGATAAAATCCTTAAAAATCTAGTACTCGTAGAAATATAAGGAATAATTCTTTATCATTCTTATCCAGGTGTTTATTATTAATTAATTGCCTTTTATAGGATAAGGGTGACAATCGGGCACACAGTCCACCTGATATTAATTAGTTGCTGTGACCCCTAGACATCTACATTTTTATCCTCAACTACGAATCAAAATGCAGATGCGTTGTCACCGGGGTCTTCGGTTCTCTGCACTCACCATACGAAACACAGCAGCATTAAGCTGCTCTTTTACGCTGGTATTTTATGAGAGCGTGTTCCTTCCCCGATCGAGCCGACCTATTCTTGCTACAACTATACTACTAACATAGCTGCAGCATGGCTCTACCACGTACCTTCTATTAGTAATAATAAAACAATGTATCAAGAGATTTACTTTACGAATTTTAGCATTTTATATACTTCCTTCTGTTGTAGATTAAATTATGCATCTACTTAACAAACTGCTAAAAAGCTAAAAAACAGATCCACTGATTTTATTAGTTGAAATAATGTTTTACAACTCTAAATAAACAATTCCAATATATAAAATATGTTAAATCACAAAACTAATATACTTTTTAGGGTTCAGTATCCGAAGGGTACGGTACCTACCCTAAAAACGGGACTCTATTACCAAGCCTCTGCTGTCCGTCCGTCTGTCCATCAGCGGGCTTTATCTTATGATCCGTAATAGGTAAATAGTTGAAATTTTCACAGAATATGTATTTCTGTTGCCGCTATAGCAACAATTAATAAAAATAGACATTAAAGGGGGCCCCCTACTAGAAATATGTTTTACGATGGTACAGAACCCTTCCTAGTCCTATTCGCACTTGGCCGGAGGATATTATTTATATTTCTATATTTCTGTTTTCATTATTTATCCCCTCGTGTGCTCCAAGCGCCACGGCCATTGTTTTTGTTTAGACTATTTATTAAACTATAATAAAAACTGCGCATGCCAAGATTGGAAAACTATGGCAATATCCTCCCTATAAGGCAATCGTGCGAGTACTGCCACTGCTATTGCTGGGCCGAGGCCTCCTCTCATTTCTTAAAGGGTTTTAGGGCAAGGAAATGTCTGCCGCGCTACCCCAATGTGTTGGCGAACTTCACATGTCTTCGAAATATTCTCTTTTCTTCTTTCTCATACATGCAGGTTTTCTCAAGATATTTCCCTTCACCGCCGAGCATGTAGTAAATCGGATTTTTTATAGGCTGTAACGTAATGGACGGATGGAAGAGGACTTCGGGGCGGCGATTAGTACATACAAAATGTATTTTAAACCGGTTCAGTTTTTGATGAGAGTGTAGGTACAATTTCTTATAGAAGTAATCAATTGTTTTTTTGGGCACAACACACAGCAGTAGATTGTTAAAAATCTATTCTTCAAATTTTTTGCAGCCCCGATATCCTCTTAAGGTATTATTTCAATAGTTTCAAGTAGTTTTTGTCTAACTATATTTAATGTGACTTACGACTTCCTGATGTAAAGGCCTGTAAATATGCTGGAGTTGACGGCGGTGGAGCAGGCAAGGCTAGAGGCTCAGTCCTGATAGTAAAAAAAAAAACATAATAAATTTTACAAAAGCAATAGTTTTCCTCGTAGTGTACAATAGGGATGTCGTACCCGTGTTATGGCGGTGTAAGAATATCCACTACGTCATATCGTCCCATGGGCGTCGTAATAGGCGACAGAGGGAAACAAACCAGGAGATGGGCACCAGCGTTTTCCTAATAAGTGAAAAAAAAACCGCAGTTGCCAATCTACCTGCCAACTGTGGCAACTATGGCAAATATCTCCCCAACGAGGCTATCTGTTGTGGAAGGTCTATGTTCACAAGTGGATTTTTTTACAGGACAGGCTGTAACGGTGTAGTTCGGCGTAAGAATATTCACTACTCTATAGCATCGCGTGGTATAAGAGGGGGCAGAGGGAAATGAAACAAGCCGTGTGAAGTGATGAGAACCGGAGAAACTATTCACTGGTAAGGAGGTTTTTTTTTTTTTTTTCATAGGAGAGGGGGCAAACGAGCATGCGGCTCACCTGATGGTAAGTGACTACCGCCGCCCATGAACAACTGCAACACCAGGGGAATCGCGCTTTTCTTGAAGGTCCCTAAGTCGTATCGGTCCGGAAAAATCGCTGATGGTAATCGATTCCACAAGGAGGTCGTGCGAGGAAGAAAACATCTTCTAAATCGCACAGTGGTGGACCGCCAATCATCCAGATGGTGTGGATGGTATCGGGAGTTCTGCCGCGATGTGCGTTCGTGAAATTTGGCGGCTGGGATTAATCCGAACAATTCCTCAGAGCACTCCCCATGGTAGATGCGAAAGAAAATGCAAAGGGATGCAACATCTCTTCGCAGTGCCAATGAATCGAGCCGATCGGAAAGGGCTCGGTCGTCGACAATTCGAGCCGCTCTGCGTTGGATGCGGTCAAGTGGAAGGAGCTGGCACTGAGGAGCACCTGCCCAGAGATGGGAACAGTATTCCATGTGAGGCCAAACTTGCGCCTTGTAAAGTAGCAGGCGGTGTGCCGGCATGAAATACTGTCCCGCTCTGCTGAGCACGCCAAGCTTTTTAGAGGCCAATTTGGCCTTCCCTTCCAAGTGACCACGAAACTGCACGTCACTCGATATGTCGACTCCGAGGATACCGATACTGGCTGAGGCAAGAAGGGGAGTGCCTTGAAACTGAGGAGATACGACAAAGGGGTTCTTTTTAGCGGTAAACGCGCAAACTTGTGTCTTCTGAGGATTAAATTGGACTAGATTTAGTCGCCCCCAATCCGAGACTTTGTTCAGCAAAGACTCGACTTCAGACACAAGTTTGTTCCGGTACTCAGCGACGTTTTCCCGAGAAATATTGGCACGGCCGGTGTATAGAGCATCACCAGTGCTGTCATCCGCATAGCAATGAATGTTACCAGTTAGCAACATATCATTGATATGCAGAAGAAACAGCGTTGGTGATAGCACACAGCCTTGTGGAACACCAGCGTTAATAGGCTTGTAGTCAGAGCATGCACCGTCTACAACGACCTTGATGCTCCGATCTACAAGGAAGCTGGTGATCCAATTGCACAATTTCTCGGGAAGCCCATAGGAAGGGAGCTTCGAAAGAAGCGCTTTGTGCCAAACCCGATCGAAGGCCTTCGCAATGTCCAGACTAACGGCTAACGCCTCCCCCTTGGACTCTACTGCCTCCGCCCATCTATGGGTCAGGTAGACCAGAAGATCACCAGCTGATCGACCCCGACGAAAACCGTATTGGCGGTCACTAATCAGCTGGTGATCCTCAAGGTACCGGATGAGCTGGCAGTTAATAATGGATTCCATTATTTTGGAGAACAAGGAGGTGATCGCGATAGGCCTATAGTTGGATGGGTCTGAGCGGTCGCCTTTTTTAGGGATCGGGTGGACAAAAGCTGTCTTCCATGAATTCGGGACTACGCCTTGGGAGTAGGAGTACCGGAAAAGACGCGTTAGGACCGGTGCCAACTCCGGAGCACACGTCCTCAGCACAATTGGGGGGATTCCGTCAGGCCCACTCGACTTCTGGATGTCCAGGGAGAGCAGTGCTTTGCGAACCGAGCGCTGTGAGAACAGCACATCCGGCATGGAGCACTCACACCGCGGGATGGTCTGCGGTGTTTTCCACCCGTCATCAAGAGTCGAGTTGGACGCAAAAAGGGAGCCTAAAAGGTCGGCTTTGTCTTTTGCGTCATGGGCCAGTGAGTCATCCTCCCTGTGCAGAGATGGTAGTGATGGCTTACAGAAATTCCCTTGGACAGCCTTGGCGAGAGACCAGAATGCACGGGTTCCCGAAGGAAGGCGAACTAGTTTCTCGCCAATTCTGCTTATGTGCTCTGACTTTGCCTTGGCAATAACTCTTTTGAAGGACCTGGAGGCGAAGTTATACTTCTTAAGGTTTAAGTTTCTTAAGTTCGTTAGTTTTCTTAAGGTATTCTATCTTAGTCCTCAGGGGTGACAACGCATCTGCATTTTGATTCTTAATTGACATAGACCTGATTACCACCAGGTGAACTCTCCGCTAGTTTATCACTCTAACTTTAATAAAAACAGTTACATATTTTACTAAAATATATTTTGATAACTACCCACCAAGTGAACTCTCTGCTAGTTTATCACTCTAACTTTAATAAAAAAGAGCAACATATTTTACTAAAATATATTTTGACAACTACTATTCGTCATAATTGTAGCCTATTTAAAATCAACCGCTGAACATAGGAATCTCCATAGATTGCCTCACAAGGGTTTTCAAATTGTTGCTACGCATGGCAAGCTGGTTGGATGATGTCCACATTTTAATTTTTTTTTAATCATTTTGTAGGTTTCAGAAAGATGCTGCTTCCCATCCCCTATTTTGCTTTTGTCGCCTCTTAAGACATCCATGGGATCACTTGCGATACTAGATTCCGTCACCAATATACGGCAGATAACTCAGATTAAGATTTGAGATACTCAGTTATAATGTCACCCAGACGGATTAAGGATTGTAAACTGAAGTGTCAATGGGCCGGCCATTATATAGCTCGAAGAACCGACAACCGATAGAGAAGATAGGTTCTCGAGTGGCAACCTCGTACCGGTAGGCAAAGTGGCGGCCGCCCACTAGATGGAGTGACGACCCGATAAGACATGCAGGAAGTCGATGGATGGCTCAGGACCGTGCTTTGTGGCATTGCCCGAGGGAGGCCTATGTTGAGCAGTGGACTTGTTAATGCGTATTTAATTCTTCTTCTTTATAACAAAAAATTAATTGATTTTGACTACATTGATGTTCTTATTTTATTTATATTGAAGTCGGTTGTACAATTTTTTTAATTTTACCGTTTATTTTAGATTTTCTTGGAATGCATAATATATGACTTTCAATAACTATTACTGGTAGTCTATATCAAATAAATTAATACTAATAAACTATTCTATTCTACAAGCGCTAATGTCCAGCAGCATACTGTTGCGGGTAACAAAAAAAAAGTAGTCAATAAAATAAATCTTACTTTGTAAACTCTATGGCAGCAGGAGGTGGTTTCGTCGTTGGTTTTGAATTTAGTTTTGCCACTTGCTGAAAGAAAGAGATAGCATTTTTAATTAAAATATCGTCGAGCGTATATTAGCCAGTTTCTGGTCTCCTACAGAATGCATTTCCAAAGAGAATAAGCAGGACTTGCATAACTTAATTCCTCCTTCACCCTACCGCGACCGGACAACCTAACGGCCAATGTTCACCCTTTTGTTGTCGATATACTACTACGCATTCAAACCAAACGGTTTGCTTCGTCATTCATCATGCGTACAGCAAAGGGTTGAAATATAACTAGCCATCCTTTTCATTCAATTACAATGTGAATAGGGTTTTGTTAAGCTAAGTAAGTCTTACTTGTAGTTGTGATTAGTATATATGTGTGATATGTGCTTGTGTGCGTTATTGCAGGTAGCGATAGCATGCTCGTCGTTATTGAACAAAACAATATAAGTTTTCTAAGTATGTTTAGCTGGGTAAAACAACTTTTTAATCACTTACAAAAACTGTGGTAATTATTTACATTTAAATCACAGTTTGGATCATGAAGAGTTTCTGTAAATTCATATACAGACTAGCGATTATTTGACGGCTCTAAAATAAGCAATAATTACAAACATACTTTCATGTTGACCTTATGCAAGTGTCAATGTAAGAATATCCACTACCCTATACCTATCGTTTTCTGCGTGTCGGTAGCATCTTCTTAATAACAACTAACCGCCTGCTAAGAGTGGCAACTATAGCAAATATCCCTCTTATGAGACAGTATGAGACAGCTTAAGGGAAGGCCTATATTCAGCAGTAAACTTTAATGGGCTCTAATAGATAGATGGATGGATAGGTTTTTTTTATAGGATGGGGTGACAAACAAGCACACATTCCACCTGATGGTAAGTAGTTGCTGTAGCCCATAGACATCTACATCTATCCTCGTTTACGAATCAAAATGCAGATGCGTTGTCACCCGTGAGGACTAAGATGGAATGCCTCTTTTCCAGTAAAAAGGGTCTCCGATTCTCTACACTCACCATACGAAACAGCAGCATTGAGCTGCTATTTTACGCTGGTATTCTGTGAGAGCGTGGTCCTTCCCCAGTCGAGCCGACCCATTCGTACTACAACTATACTACTAATTTAGCTGCAGCATGGCTCTAGCACGTAAGTTTCATGTTAAAATCAAAGTCACAAGCTCTGTTGTTTAGAAAATGAAACATTAATTTTCTTAGCTCACTGCGAACAATTTTCGATCTGTTTACTTTCCATTTTGGTGGTACTTGATAATAATTTTTCACTTTTGAATTTACGCATACAACTAAAAGAATGATGGACTCCTAAAAAGACCAACCTACCTATACATCTAACATAATATAATGAGTGCCTGCACTGAAAACCTTTATTGCGCATACATTTGGCACTATTAATAATAGCAGTTAATATTTCCCGAAAACATTCAGTTGTGGGTCAAAATAAATTAGACGATTATTTAAAACATATTCGGCCTTATTGTAAAAAAAAAACTTTACAATTAGTCTCAGGTTCAAACTAAAATCTGTTTAAGGAAAGAAGCCCCCGGCAAAATGCGATCTAAAATGTAATGTATGGAATTTGACAGCATAATATGTCAAATTTCTCAGCCCGATTTACACTTCGACAAGTACAGTAGCAAGTTAACTTGCTAACCTGGCGAATTGGGTAAAAATCTCGTTTGAACAGCAATTAGTGAGTTAAATAACAAATTAACAATTAAGTTGAACGGGATAGCCTGCCGGGCTATTTTTTGGCGCTCGTGTGAACGAGCGAGTTTAGTTCAGTGCATAAGTTGACAGGACGCAACGTGTTTGCGTTCGACCCTCAAAATATAAAATTGTACTTTTTTTACTAATCTGGCCACGAAGATATTTGTACTGGCCACTTAACCGTTTACTGTCAACTGCCCTGTAACTAAACTCGCTACTGTACTTGTCGAAGTGTAAATCGGCGATAAGGGACTTCTTTAGTTAAAAAGACTATTCATAAACCATGTTTTGTAATAAGACAGAATGAGTCTGTTCGATTGTATTATTTGATATGCATATGTAGAGCCAATGTTGCCAGATGTACGATTTAAATCGTATTCATACGATTTTTTAAGAGTTATATGCATGTACGATCGAAACATAATAATCGTACGCAATTCATACGACTTTTTACATTTTCTACCAATGCTTTATCAGAATCATATAGAAACAAAGTAAATACTTTGTTCCCTCTAATGAAAATTGTGCCTCGGATTGTAAGTGAAGAAATAATGCAAAATGTGGATGATGAGTGGAGAAGATTATTCCTGCTCTTTATTAAGTTGATATGATTCTCCCGGTCCTGCCAGACGAATTTTGGGCAGAAATGTGCGTTAATAACCTTCAGAATATAGCAAAATTTGCTATCGATTTGCTATGCCTTCCTCATTCTAATGCGGATTGTGAACGGTGCTTCAGTTCAGTAAATCTCATCAAAACGAAAATCCGAAATAGGCTCAGTAGTGAGTCTGTGAACAGTACGCTATTAGCCAAACAAATTATAAAACTCTTTGGTTGTTGTGTTGATTTTTCTCCATCAAGAGAAATGTTAAATAATATGGACAGTAAGATTTTATATAGAGATAAAGACTAACAATGTTGTGTTTTTACTTCTCAATTTTTGTATAATTTAATAAAATAAAGTTTAAAAAAAACGCACTATTTTTATTTAATTACCTTCTTATTTACCCATCGTACGATCGTTCATTCAAAATGTCTAGCAACACTGTGTAGAACATAATGGACAGACATAACAATAACATAGGCTGTGTATATGTTGATCCCAAAGCTGTTTTGAGCAATGTCTTCGTAATTTTCGTTCGTAATTTTTCATTGCATCTACTACGGCTTTTGCTGGAATTGTTTTAACTATACGTAAATGAAGTTTATTTTGGAATAACACATCTCATTTTCACCTAAATGTGGGTTGGATCCTTGTAACATGTCTAAATATGTTGTAGTTTTTTTTATTGTTGTAAAACACCAAACACTATTTTAATATGATAACTTAATAGCCATGCAAGAGAAAAACAACTACATCTTCAATTCCTGAAATATTTACCATGTCCTTCTTTGGAGAAACTGGTACCCATTCAGAGGCCTTTTCTCTGTGTTGTGTGCCCGATGAAACAGGGAACTGCATCCGTAATTCATCCTTGTTGGCGATTGGGAGAAGAGTAGACTTGACGGGTAGTGGTGCACCACCCTAAAACGGAAAGGAAGATTGTTGATCAGTATGAAGTTTGCCTGCAGTTTCTGTGGGCCATGAGTTCGATTCATGCACAGAAGTAGAATTTTTTGTTTTTTAATTTTTTTTCCTAAAACGGATTGCACATGGACAAAAAATTAACCGAATTTGAAACAATTATTTATAGGCAAAGGAAGAGACAGAACGCTGTGGCAATTTGTGACATGGCTGTATTACAGCCCGGAAAAGTTTGACTGGACACACTCATATGCTCCAAAAACCATATTGTTGGTTGGAAATGATTTTAGATGCATATGTGTTCTTAAAGTTGAGCATGTTTTTGGATAGGTTTTGGCCTCATTTCAAATATTTGCAGAGCTCTGTCTATCTTTCTTTATTTGTCTGAGTTTGAAGAATTAATCTCTATTAAAATTATAATTTCTAAATTTTCCTAAAATTCCTTAAGCCTAGCAAAATATATTGCTTACTCTTATATTCATTACAATAGGCGCCTTTTCTTTCACGAGGAACGGATGATGGAATGCCATGGTGTCTTCGTTCTCGCTCATGTTTTCATCATTAGATGAAACAGATGACAGTTCCCCTAATGCTTCCTTCTTTGATAAATGTTTACAGAAGTCTGTCAGTTCATCCACTGATTTACCTGCGGATGGTTTTAAATGTTAGAAAAGTTATTTATGACATCCTAAATCACAATCTTCTTCTTTATGAGCTGTCCACAGATGGTCCATGGATGGTAAAAATGGATCTCTACTAATTCATTTTAACATCTTTCCTAATGTATTGAACACAATCAAAGCCTTGGAAGGTTCACAAAGTATACAAAGCATCATCTGAATTCTCTCCCCCCCCCCACTCCTATCCCCAACACCGGCGTCAGTTGAAAGTACACAAGTCGTTTTTATTGTCACCACACAAAAAATATGTATCACCTCTTCCAGCATGGAAAGTAGCGAGGAAAGAAGGCAAAGACGTAGTGTGACAATACTCGTCATGCCGTACTCCTCGTTCATGCCCATCGCTCCTGGTTTGGTAGGTTTTTGGGCCGCGAGTCAAAGGTCTGGCAATATGAGCGCGAGTGGCCGGCCACATAATCGCGCGAACGCAGTCCAAATCGAGCGCTCGTTACACATTTCATTGATTGCATTCACATAATTTAACATACATTGTTTGGTAAACAATGGATGTTGAAACTGTGTGGAGCGTCCTAGTGTGTAGCGTCGCGATTAATTGCGCGAGTAGGGCAACATCGTGGCCGCGCGAGTACGAGGGCGGCACACAAAGTTCGCGGAATAGAGGAGTTAGATAGAGGGGGATTTTTTTAACTGTCACTACTTGGTGACTTAATACAACTATAAATACCAAGTTTCAGCTAGATCGGAACATTTGAGATATCACAGGATAAACAAGTCAATCGGGAAGTGAACACTAACTATGTAAAAATTGAGTTTTGTGCCGTGATTTACTTCCTCACTAAGCAAGGAATAACGCCACATATCATTATTGAAGCGATGTCGTCAGTTTACGGGGACTCTTCCCCTGAAAAAACAATGATTTATAAGTGATCTTGATTTTCAAGCAAGGCAAAGACTCATTTGAAGACTATCAGCGTTCATGCCGACCGATTGAGGCAACTTCCCCAGACATCGAAAAAGTTGAAAAACTTGTTCTTGAAGATGCTTGTCTGAAGAAAAAAAGAGTGCAGAAATAACTGGAGTATCATCTACGACCGCTTTAAATATTCACCATGACCATCTTGTCATGTCTAAGCTTAGTGCAAGATGGGTATGGCAGCTCGAGTGTTCGCGCGAGTATTTAGACCTATGTAATGACAACAGGGACGAAATTATGAACCGAATTCTGCTAAGGACGAAACTTGGATTTATAACTATAAACTTGTGACAAAGCGGGAGTCCGTGCAGTGGCATAAAAACGGCGCAGCACCGCCTAAAAAGTTCAAGGTGTCACAATTGGCTGGAAAGATTATGTCTTCAGATTTTGGGATTTTATTAATCAGTTATAAAGATGTCAATATCACGGGACAGTATTACGCTACGCTACTAAAAAAAAATTAAAGATGTGATTAAAGAAAAAAGAAGTGGACATTGGTCTCGAGGTGTGCTCCTTTTGCATAACAACACACCCGTTCACAAGAGTCATGTTGCAATGGCTTCTTTACAAAAGTGCGGCGTCGAAACTTTAAACCACCCTCACTATAGTCCAGATTTGACCCCTTCGGATTATTATTTGTTCTCAAATATGAAAAAAGAGCTCCGGGGAAAGAAATTTACAGATGACGAAGAAGTGAAGTCGGCAACTTCTGCTTATTTTGAGGGCCTTGAACAAAACAACATTTCGGAGTTGTACAAGTTATATGAATGGTTTGAGAAGTGTATTATGGGTACTGGAGAATATATCGAAAAGGATAAATAATTTTATGTTTAATTTCAAACCCTTTCCCTTTCATTCCAAGAAATTTTTGACCTCCCCTCGTAACAGAGCGTTGAGCAGCACGAGGAGCATAGTGTGGCAGATCATAATATAAAGCTCTACAAATATATTTTATAGTTCTATAAATAGCCAAATTGAATGATGGAACAATTATTTTTAATTTAATATACAAACAATAATGGATGATTTGATAAAACAGAAAAAATGATTTCCTTTTGGTTTATAACCACAAAAACTTTTAAATAAGTGTTTTAAACATAGAGCTATGCTTCAGATGTAATATGGCTTCAGCAAAAATAGGTTGGTTCAACTGGGGAAGGACCTCACTAATATAAGACCAGTGTAAAATAGCAGCACAATGCTGCAGTGTTTCATATGGTGGGTGCAGAGAACCAGAGACCTTCTTTTACTGGTAAATGGTATAGTATTCCATTTTAGCACTCAGGGGTGTCAACACATCTACTTTTTGATTCTCAATAATACATGTAGGTGTGTATGGGCTAAAGAATTCACTTACCATCAGTTGGACTTGAGCTTACCCTAGCTTCTATTGAAACATATATGTAATACTAGCTGTGCCCGCGGCGTAGCTCGCGTATACAGGTTTTACATAAAGAATTTGTCGTTTAGGTAAGAGAATATTAAACGATTTATTTCATTACTGTATCAATAAGTGGTAACAAAATAAATCATTATCATCAAAGTTCTAAGTCGTTTATGATAGAGCTTCTGTGTAAACGACGTTAGAAGTAGGCTTAGCCGGGGTATACACAAAAAGGTTACGGGGGCTACTAACGCGGGAAAAAGCAACATAGAGTCGGCCATGTGCAAAACAGTCAGTACTGAGGTACACTCCTACAACGCGTAAAGTTTGACCTTGCGCTTTATTTACGGTCATCGCATAACACACACTCACTGTAACTGGGAACTGAACGCGCTTAACTGAAAGGAAAGTTACTTCTTAATAGAGGGTTTTTGGGCAGTGCTGCCAGATAAAAAAAACTCAATCAGCTCTAGGACAACACAAAAAGCGCTAGATTTCGCGCTAAATTAACTACAAACAAAGTTTGTGTTTTTTTATATAATCATAATAAAGAAAACAACATTAAGTTTTTTTTCTGGCAATATTTTTTTGATGTATCAATACTTCGCAGGACATCGACTTATAATTATAGCAATTGCTGTCAAGAGTAGTTAGTACTGTACGAACAATAAAAATGTCATTAATTGTTTTAAAGTGCAATGTATTTCGCAACTTAGTTTCAGATGTCAGCATCTGATTGCGGTTGCTACACAGTTTCTTTGTGTTATAACTTCTAAGTAACTTTTAACTTAGCTGTGCTCTAAGCAACTGACTAAAACTGAATAAAGCAAAATAAATGCGTTGCCAAAACCATGAACGAAAACTTTAATAAAGGGGATTTCCCCGCTTATAGTCGTCGGTAAAAAAATCAAGTTGATCATTCTAAAGAGGAAGCCAGGAGATCCATAGCACAGGGTATCCTAGTTTGGACTCGTCTCCCATGCTCTTTGTTTTGTGGAAAAAATATGTTTGAAAAAGATAAACTGCAATGTACTATTTGTGGGAAAAAATAATAAAGGTCATTATTATTATTATCGGTAATGTGGACTAACAGTGCTGCTATAAAAGAGTTAATAACCCGCTAGTCGCTAAAATATTGAAATGTGTGCTAAATACACCAAAAAGCGCTGGATTAAGCGCTAGGTGCTAAAATTTCGAAATGCGCGCTATACATTCCAAAAAAGTGCTAAATCTAGTTCCCAAAGCGCTAAAATGGCAGTTCTGATTTTGCGTATATTATAAATACAATATCACAACATTTCGTTGCAAAATTTTTATTTTTGGTCGGGTTCCGTTGTATGGCTTCGATGGATACAAATTTCTTCAGTCAGTCTCAATACGATTCATCGGCGAAAAATCTCAACACAGCAATTCAGAAAAGTTTGTAATTTGTACAACTCCATCTATTACGTCCTTTGTGTGAGAAAACATCCTATCTCTTTTTGTGTTTTAAGTATAAATATATTAATTATTATGGAACGTTTTTTTTTTACACAGAAATCTTTTTATTACTATTTCTGAGATTTTATGGCGCCATTGAACAAATTCGAACCTACATTTCAAAATAATAATCATTAATCCACCAATTTTAATAAAACAAAGATTAAATGTAACTCGAAGATACGATTCTTAACGATTGCTTTGAAAATAAAAGATGTTTACGTTAGACGTGATGCGTTCATATAATAACAGACAAATAGACAGACATACAATTCTAAAAATTATAAAATGTTCTTATTTAATTATTTTCAGTTCCCCATAATGATTTTAGCCACCAAAATATAATATATACCTACAATGTACAGAAACAGACGATTTATTATATGTATATATTTAAAGAGAGATGGCGCTGCTAACATCATCAATTCTAAAAATAAAAGAGATTAATTGACGCGATTGATAAATTATATAAAACGTAAGAGAACTTATAAATCAGTGCCTGCACAGTAAGCAAAAAATAAAGTTTGACTCTCGCCAAAACTAATGCAATTGTTAATAGCTCTTTTAAAATTTGATTTACCACATCAAATTGTACTCGGCGGTAAAGAATAAATTGAGTTTGTCAACACGCAGTAGGGCAGCGAGTAATATAATAAAGATTAGCAGTAAATATGAAAACTCATCTACAGGAAAAAACCACATTTGCAATTGCATTTTCACAACATCACCAACTATCGAAGAAATGGGTTAACTATTGTGCTTCAGATTTAGTTAATAAGGTTAATATATTTTTGTATAATATATTTAATACGTTCTTTATTACTTTTGTTTACTGCGCTTTAGATATACATAATTATATCATTATTTTACATAATTTAACTATTATTTATGATATGATATTAGTTTAAAATGCACTTGATGACTCAAACAAAGCCACCGTTGAGCAAATTCGTACCTATACTTCCCTACCCATACTTCAGAATATTTATCATAACTTTTGATGGAATGAACTGATTTTAATGAAATAAAGACTAAATGTAACCCGAAGATACACTTTATAATTTCCTTAACAATTCTTATGATATAAATTAGTACTTTATACGTGATACGTTAACAAACAAACAGACAGACAGACAGACAGACAGAAAATTCTAAAAATGGTAGAAATGTATTTAATTACTTATTTTTAGTACCCCTCAATCACTTTTATTACAAAAATATAAAATGTACAGACATCTGCTATTTACAGTTTTATTATATGTATAGATGATATAATGTTACAGTGTCACAAATATATGCAATTACAGATACTCTTACTTGCATTAACCATGAACTATGTAATGCTTAATGAAAATAATATTGCAATCAGAGACAATCTCGAAACTGGTAGAAAACATAGAAGAGCTATGCTGCAGCTATATTAATATTATAGTTGTAGCACAAATGGGTCAACTCGACCGGGGAATGACCACGCTCTCACAGAATACCAGAATAACATAGAAGCTTACTGCTGCTACGTTTCATTGTGAGTGTAGAGAACCAGAGGCCCTTTTTACTGACAACACATCTGTATTTTGATTAGCAGACGAAGATAGAAGTAGATGTCTATGGGCTACAGCAACCACTTAGCATCAGGTGGAGTGTGTGCTCGTTTGTCACCCTTATCCTATAAAAGAAACCTACTGATCCAATACAAAATCTTATATCTAACTTATGTTGCCATAAATTGTATTAAGCCTACAACATAGTAGCTAGGTATCCTCATCACTGATAGGGAAAATAGGCATAACAAATAAATTATACCTCCAGATTGTATAGCAGCCATGACTTGATTCCTAGTGTGAGGTGGCAAAGCTGCCGCACCCGCTGGCACTGCGCCATTCTTAAGCATATTGATGGCATTTCGCCTGGCTACCTCTAAAAGCCGTTTCTTTTCACTGTCCGCCAATTTTACACCACTTGGAGATCTAAAAATGTAATTGCAACGTATAGGTCAGTACCGATTAAGAAAATTTGCTAAGTTAACAGAGAATTGTTGTTCTTATTCTTATTCTTTATTTAATTCTTCTTCTGGGTTGTCTGGAAGAGATTGCTATGTGGCAATAAGACCACATTTTGTTTTTCCCTTAAGTTTTGTTTATTTTTTTGTTACTTGGTATACAATAAAGAGTATTGTATAGTATTGTAATTATCATTTTCATTATTCCCTTTGTCATCTTTTGCCACATCCCTACCACGGAATGATATGAAATAGTGGATGGATGCAAGAGTAAGAATACACTAACATACATATGGATGATTGAACTACTGTTATATATATAACTTTACAGCGTTTGAATTTTTTATATCTATACTAATATAATAAAGCGGAAGAGTTTTTTTGTTTGTTTAAACACGCTAATCTTGGAACTACCAGTCCGATTTGAAAAATTATTTTTGTATATTATAGCTAGATTCATGTGGAATAGTATAGGCTATCTAGCATTGTGAGCTATATCACTCAGCTAGCCTTAAATATGGATATTTGTTAAGCAAGTAAGAAGAAAAAGCATCCCGAAATGATTTATCCGCGTACGGTGGTGTTATTGTTATACGTAAATACAATGTTCTAGAAAAATATAGATCTTTACTCCATCTAAAAAAAAAGTCCGCGATACCATATGTCTATTTCTTATACATAAGCCATAATTAGGTATCTTGTGACAAAAAAACTATTGAAAATTTGTAAGTGATTTATGAGCGTTATAATTAGGCATGGCCTATTTATCCTTACGAACGAAAGTTACTTCATCATCAAGACAATTTTATGAAGATAAACTTTGTTCTTTATACCATGTTATTTGGACGCATAGTTTAAGAGATAATGTAAAATTAAAATAATTCAATACTTGGCAGGGCGCGCGAACGACACAAAAACCCTAGCCGCCCGGTGAGAACTAGGTCATGTCGCGCACCTCTGACACGTGATGACGCTGGTGAAACCACGGGGCACAGCTAGTGTTATAATAAATCTGATTGACCACTTTTAACAAGGTTACACAACAAAAACATTGTGAAGCACCCTAAATATCATTTTATTTCTCCTTCCAAACAGAATTAATAATATAATATTAAGGGTGTAACAGTTTTTGTGCATGCTTTCGTCGCCTATAATTATAGTGACACTTAGTTTGAACTTGTTACTAGTTTCTGTATGTTATTATTAGTAGCATAAGCTACATTGGTGAATCAATTAATAAATAAACAAATCTTACCTTGACCGCCGACTCCTGTGTCTTGGTGAGTGATGTCTTGAGTGATGACGAGATCTGGATTTAGACCTTTTTGATCGAGATCTGCTTCGATGTTTTGAGCGACTTCTCCGTCGTGACCTGGACCTGGAACGATGTCTGCGCCGCTTCGATGTAGAGTGTGATCGTGAACGTCGCGATTTGCTTTTTGATCTGTTAATTTATGTGACTGCAGTTCAATATCGGTAGTAGTATGTCATCATTACAGCCCTTCACAAGTCCACTGCTGAACATAGGCCTCCCCCAAAGAATGCCACAAAGCACGGTCCTGAGCCACCTGCATCCATCGACTTCCTGCATATCTTACCAGGTCGTCACTCCATCTAGTGGGGGGACGCCCTACACTTCGCCTGCCGGTACGAGGCTGCCACTCGAGAACCTTTCTTCCCCATCGGTTGTCGGTTCTTCGAGCTATATGGCCGGCCCATTGCCACTTCAGCTTACTAATCCGTTGGGCTATGTCGGTCACTCTAGTTCTACTGCGGATATCCTCATTTCTGAGTTTATCACGCAGAGAAACTCCGAGCATAGCCCTCTCCATAGCTCGCTGAGCGACCTTGAGCTTCCTCATCCGGCCAGCAGTGAAGGACCACGTCTCAGTTCCGTATGTCATCACTGGCAACACGCACTGGGTGTACAGTCTCGTTTTCAAGTTTTGAGGTATACCTGACGAGAAGATGTGCCGTAATTTCCCGAACGCTGCCCAACCGAGTTGAATCCGTCGATTGACCTCTCGGTCGAAGTTGGACTTGCCTAGTCGGACTATTTGTCCCAGGTAAACATACTCGTCAACAACTTCGAGCTTAGTGTTCCCAACAACTACCGGCATAGGTGTGACATGGACATTAAACATGATCTTTGTTTTGTCCATGTTCATCTTAAGACCTATCCGTTGGGAAACACTATTGAGGTCATTGAGCATAGTGCTTAGGTCCTCCAGCGATTCTGCCATAAGGACTATATCGTCGGCAAATCGAAGGTGAGTGATGTACTCGCCATTGATGTTGATACCGTATCCTTTCCAGTCCAGAAGCTTGAAAACATCTTCCAATGCAGCGGTAAAGAGTTTCGGGGATATGACGTCACCCTGTCTTACACCTCTCTGCAATTGGATAGGTTTCGTACTCTGGTTCTGTACTCGGATAGCCATCGTAGCCCTACTGTACAAGCACTTCAACACTTCGATATACCGACAGTCAACTTGGCATCGCTGAAGGGACTGCAGCACCGCCCAAATTTCGACGGAATCAAAGGCTTTCTCATAGTCCACATACGCCAGACATAGTGGCAAATTGTACTCCTCGGACTTCTGTACAATTTGCCGAAGGGTATGTATGTGGTCTATGGTGCTAAAGCCTTTTCGGAAACCGGCTTGTTCGGGAGGCTGGAAGTCGTCAAGTCTGCGCGCGAGACGATTCGTAATGACTCTCGAAAACAGCACGTAGACGCGGCTCAGAAGGGAAATCGGTCTGTAGTTCTTCAAGAAAGCGTTGTCGCCTTTCTTGAAGAACAAGACCACCGCACTTCTGCTCCACGCCTCCGGTGTAATGCCACCATAGAGGACGGAATTAAAGAGCTTCTGAAGGACTTCAAGTACCGGTTTTCCACCCGCTTTCAGAAGCTCCGCTGTAATTCCATCCTCGCCTGGGGCCTTGCCGTTTTTAAGGTGCTGGAGAGCCATTCTAATCTCGCTCAGACTGACGTCCGGGATATCATCGGAATAATGTCGGATAAGACTCGCTCTTGGATCGTTACTCACACTTGCGTGCGGCTCCAACGATGACGTGTACAGCTGCCCATAGAACCTCTCAATCTCACTCAAAATCTCAGGTGCCCCGGAAACGATGCTGCCACATTCTGTCTTCAGCTTTGACAGTTGGCGCTTTCTGGCAGACAGATCTCTGGCAAAGACTTTGGAGCCTTGGTTTCGCTCGATCGCTTCTTCAATACGAGCTGTATTGAAGTTGCGTAAGTCCCGCCGCATGCATTTGGAGATTTGTCTGTTCAGTTGCCTGTATGCTGTTAAATCTGTTGAAGAATGTAGCTTCATCTCCCGTCTAACAGCCATGAGATTAAGAGTGTGATCGGAGAGTTTTTGTGTTCTTCTGCGGCGGGTCTTGCAGAACTTAGCTCCGACCGAATGGACAGTTTCCACGAGCTTGTCATTCAAATCGTCCACTTCATTGCAGTCTTCTAGGCACTGAAAACGGTTTTGTAACTCGAGCTGAAAGGTTTCGGGACTTTGGATTAGAGCACGAGGGGGACGGAGCGTTGACTTCATTAGACGAGACCTCTCCAACTTAACGTTTAGGTTCAGTGTGCCTCTAACCATTCGGTGATCGCTGCCGGTTTTCACCCTCGCGATCACTGAGACATCACTGAACAGTTGTCGTCTGGTCGTCATAATGAAGTCAATCTCATTTTTTGTCGAACCGTCGGGGCTCGACCAGGTCCACTTCCTGTGGGGCCGCTTCTGGAAGAAAGAGTTCATCATAAAGAGTCCCTCTTTCTCCATGAAGTCAGCCAACTGCTGGCCCCTTGGGTTCCGTTGCCCTATTCCAAATTTCCCTACTTTCAGCTCACCGTTCTCTCTTGTGCCTAGTTTTGCATTGAAGTCTCCCATTAACACCGTATATTGGGTTTTGGAGGAATGCATGGCTCTAGAGATATCCTCATACATTTCCTCCACCTCCTGATCGGGGTGTGCCGAGGTTGGTGCGTAAACCTGTATGACCTTCAGCGAATACCGTTTGGTGATTCTGAGTATAAGGTACACAACCCTCGTCGACACACTCTCAATCTTTACAACGTTGTTAACGAGAGACTTGTGGACGATAAATCCGACACCTCCTTGGGACAGATGGTCGCCCTCCCGGTAATAGAGCAAGTTGCCGGATTCGAGGATTACCGTGTCCTCCCCCTCTCTTCGGACTTCGGATAATCCTATAATATGCCAGCGTAACTTGTCTATCTCTTCTTCCAGCTCCACAATCTTCTCGTCAGTCCTCAGGGTGCGTGCGTTGTATGTTGCCAGGTCGAGTCGTCGTAGGTGGCAACCGAACCTCCACCGGAGATTCTTAGCACCCCCTGCCCCGCCGTTACCATGGTCGCCATCGTAGCCAGGAATAGCGGGGCCGCCGGGGACTGGGGGCCGTTTATTATTGTCATTGCTCATGGGGGGTATATTGCCATAGTTGCCACTCTTGGCGAGCGGGTTGGCAACCGCAGTTTTTTTATTGTTATTTTGACTAATATCAGGAAGATGCTGCTGCCCATCTCCTGCCTGTTTCCCTTTGTCGCCTTTTACGACACCCACGGTAATAGTAGTATGTAATGGTGTCTAAATGTCATCAAGCTTTTTACCTACCTCTTTCTTGATCTACTTCGTTCTCTCTTTGAAGATTTGTGTGATGTTTCAACTGGTTTATTTTTCTTAGCAATATTCTTTTCTTCTTCAAGCCTGTAATATTAACATTATTGTGTATATTTGTCATAAGAAATGAGATATGCTTCAATTTTAGCTTTTTCTGGCTGTTGCAAATGTAAGAAAGAAATAAACGAATAATCATTGTATCTGGTTAAAATTTACATGGGACCATTGTGGAAGTTTTCTCTATTAATAAAATCCTAATCCAAATCTCACATTTGAATATAACAATAAATTTGATTTGAATGAAAATATAGATCAGTTTAATTCACTCAGTTGGTCAGATGATGGAAAAAAGTTGGTATACCATTGTGAGTAAGACTGGCCAAAGATGGGAACACTTGGAAGCCTTTGAGTCTATGGCTCAGCCATTTTGGAGGAGGAGCAGCTGTCTCACAACAGCAGTTACTCAAAATCAGAGGACCTAATGAATGATGCCTATATACTTGGGTGGAATGTGGTCTATAACCAAGAATTACATGAGATGGTATGTTTATTGTCAGATTTCCTTACATCTATGTATGAATGGTACTTGGAGCTCTGGTTTTAATGGTATCATCAGTATAAATATCAATCTTATCAATTAAAATAAGAAAATAAACTTACTGTTTACTTTCTTCATGCATTTTTAAAATGCCTCCAGGATCTGATGTTTTTGGAAATTGTGAATTAATGTCTAAATCCTTAACAGAACCACTAGATGAGTCTGTACATTCACCTTCTTCAATCTTTTCTGCTTTTTTACGTGCTTCTTCTTCAGCTTTCTTAACTGTCTCTTCAAAGACTGTACTAAATTTTAAGTTTTTAATTTGAATTTTAGATTTGGATTTATCACATTCAGTTGTGATATTTTCTGTTTTTTTATCAGAAGTTTGTATCTCTTTTGGAGATTCTGGCATAGGAATAAGACTAGCATCAAAAGTACTAACAGTAGGCTTCTCGTCTTCAGTCTTAATACATACATTTGGCTCTTTAACACAAGATTCACTTTTAACCTTGCTTTCCTCTTTGATTTTGACATTATCATTCTTAACTTCATTTTTCGATTTTATTTTTGGTAACTCGGGTTCCTTTTTAACAATGACTGGAGTTCTTGAGCGATGGCAAGAAGGAGAACGACGAGTGTGCTTCTCTTTTCGCTTAGTTTTGACTTTTTTTCTCTTTTTCCGTTTACGCGAATGATCACTCTCGTCTGAGCTGGAATTACTTACACTTCGACTACGTTTCTTCTTCTCCTTTTTATGCTTCTTTTTACTCTTTTTTGACTTTTTAACCGAAATTTCTTCAATTTTCGGAGGGTCGGCATTAAAAACACTAAAAAGTTCTGAAAGGATCTCATTTGAAGATTTTGTGGTATCATCTTTCTTGCGTTCTGGTGTAGTCCTTTCTTGTTTAATTAATTTATCGATTTTGGTTACAACCGTGGTCATCTTTCTTATTAGTGAATAATAATTCTTAATAGTACATAATTATATTTTATGAAAATATAATAAAATTATCTACTCTCCACAATTATAAACAAAGAAGTTATCCCTATATACAATGTACTCTGTGCACAGAACACTAATACCCTTAGGCGGCTTAGACTCTGTGACAATAACCACCACAGATAAATAAATATGTTTTTTTATAACCGGCTTTACGGCTCTGGGTTCTAGCCCTTCTGAGCCTAAAGTTACAATGTATAATTATCCTTCATAGTACACTGCATATGTTGATGCGTCACATTGTGCAGCCCTTGGGAGATTTTGACGGCAACTTGAGCCAGCAAACAGCTGACAGTTGGCGATGTATGTATCTCATCTGTATCTCATCATGTATCTCAAGGTGCCTAAGCAGATATATACCTTATCTTGAGAATCACATCACCATCAGAGCACTTCTTTCACCATTTCCACTAATAGTTCACATGCGTAGACATTTAATACACAAAATCGCATCACATATCAAAATCCACTTCAAACCATTAATATACATACATATATACATACATATATACATACATACATAATATGTCTGGATAAAGGTATTGGTATTATGCTGACATTGTTTTTGAGAGATGTTCCCGGACCAATCTTTTGAAGGCTATCTTGTTTGGTGTTTTCCTAATGTCTTCAGGTAAGGAGTTCCAGAGTAGTATAGCCTGAGCCTCACCTTCGATTTGCCGACGATATAGTCCTTATGGCAGAATCGCTGGAGGACCTAAGCACTATGCTCAATGACCTCAATAGTGTTTCCCAACGGATAGGTCTTAAGATGAACATGGACAAAACAAAGATCATGTTTAATGTCCATGTCACACCTATGCCGGTAGTTGTTGGGAGCACTAAGCTCGAAGTTGTTGACGAGTATGTTTACCTGGGACAAATAGTCCGACTAGGTAAGTCCAACTTCGACCGAGAGGTCAATAGACGGATTCAACTCGGCTGGGCAGCGTTCGGGAAGCTACGACACATCTTCTCGTCAGACATACCTCAAAACCTTAAAACGAAATTGTACAACCAGTGCGTGTTGCCAGTGATGACTTACGGAACTGAGACGTGGTCCTTCACTGCTGGCCGTATGAGGAAGCTCAAGGTCGCTCAGCGAGCTATGGAGAGGGCTATGCTCGGAGTTTCTCTGCGTGATAAACTTAGGAATGAGGATATCCGCAGTAGAACTAGAGTGACCGACATAGCCCAACGGATTAGTAAGCTGAAGTGGCAGTGGGCCGGCCATATAGCTCGAAGAACCGACAACCGATGGGGAAGAAAGGTTCTCGAGTGGCAGCCTCGTACCGGTAGGCGAAGTGTAGGGCGTCCCCCCACGAGATGGAGTGACGACCTGGTAAGACATGCAGAAAGTCGATGGATGCAGGTGGCTCAGGACCGTGCTTTGTGGCATTCTTTGGGGGAGGCCTATGTTCAGCAGTGGACTTGTGAAGGGCTGTAATGATGATGATAATGATGATATCCTGAACAGTAAAAGAATTGCCGATAAAGCCAGTAAAATGGAGTGGAACTGAAATCTTCAGATTAGTTGAAGACTTACTGACTTACATACCAGTTTCAAAAGAGGATAAAGACTATGCAAATTATTTTCAAATGAAAGAGGCTTGTTTTGATAAATGACTGGTTTTGGTAGCACCACACCTAAAAAACAAGATACATGTATGCGACAAGCTATTATTCTCGGAGTAAACGCGACGCGTGATTGACAAAATGCCATTTCACGTTCAATAAAAATTCGTGACTGATAGTTGATTGACGTAAAAAACAAAATATCCAGATATTTGTCAATTTCATGCAACCGTCAATCACCGCATTACACGGTAGGTTATTCGTCAATCACAACCGTGATTGTTGTAAAACTGACAGCAAAATCTACTGTGTAATGGGCGTTTAACGGCAACTTAACAATATCTATAAACCCAACCGTCATAGAACAGGTTATTAAAATTATTTTCGTTACGTGATATAAACAGTTAAGATTTAAATCCTAATTTAGTTGCTGAAATGAACTTTTGTTCGTACTTTTGATCTTTTGACATCTTTCTAGAAATTAAGGCAAACATTTTTCCTTGTTTGTATTGAGACTGCGGTACAACTGATGGCATCACGGAGGATGGATTTGACTGGCTCAAAAAGTTATCTTTTAAGTTAGTGATGACGCAAGGACACCTAAAGTGTTCACGGGTCTCGAAGATCTAGTAATTGTTTGCTGTTCCAACGAAACTTGCGTGTGTACGTTTATTCGCTGCCGTAAATGTGACTTCAGATTACCTGAAGTCGTCTGAAAACTAAATTTGTTTTAAATATTACAACGCGCTTTTTTTAATTTACATTATCAGTTTTTTGAAAAACTCCCACAAAACACTTGTGTTTTGTCGCGACATTGTTTCTTTATTATATCATAACCTAAAACGAAGCTATATCTATATTTACAATCACTAAATCAAATGAATATTTACAAAGTTTTTTTGTTCGTTTTTAGATTTCTGCTTCGAAATAAACTTGGAATTAAAAAATAAAGCAAAGTTTTTAAATAATAATATTACACCCAAAATTTATTGTTGCACTTGTTCCTCAGAGAGACAATTAATATGAAAACTCAAGTTCAAACATTGAAGGACGGTGTGCCTAGTGCGAGTTCCACAAAATAATTCGAATGACTTCACCATCGCGTTAACCGAGTTAACGTCATGGCTCCAGTACACGTTGGCCGAGCGCGCTTGGCGAGCGCACTCGGCAGATTTTCGTGGTGCCGTTCACACGTTGGCGTGTTTCATTCTGCGTTGGTAGCTAGATGATGATGGACGTTAGGGCAATCGCGGCCGCTGTCATATACTTATACAGTGCTTCACTCTTCTCAGAGTGAACGAAAAAAAAACTACACATACAACAATAATCCCAGTTTGTCCTTTTTAGGGTTCCGACCTCAAAAGGAACAAGAAACCTTTATAGGATCTACTAGCAGACCCGTGCCCGCTTCGCTGGGGGTTTTTTCAAAATAAATGATAGCCCAAAAGAAGCCCCTAAGCTACATTATCCCTGAGCAACATAAACGCAGAGATAATTTATAATAATATTTATCATTGGGTAGGTACTCTGAAATCGCAACTAAACATGTATTATTTAATGCAGTTAGGCAAGTTACTTACTCTAGTTTTATTTTTATGTTGCTCATGTTTGGAGTTCCATATAACTGATTCATTGTGAGAATCAATCAATGAACAATGAATCAATATTTCACTCCATAATTATTAAATCGTAATGTGTTGGTATGCATATAAGTAACATTAAAAATATATTATATTGAATTATATATTTTTTCATAATATATAATATTTATTTATATATATACGTGTGTGTGTGTGTGTGCGTGTGTGTGTGTGCGTGTGTGTGTGTGTGTGTGTATTGTATATGTATATTTATGTAAGTACACGCTTTGACTACCTCTATTTCCTTCAACTATCCTTCAATAGGCCTGCTGGAAGAAATTTCATCATGGAATAGGCAGTGCCTTTGTACATAATTATGTATTTACCATTTTCCTATCGAATTATGTGTGTACATAAACTGTTAAATAAATAAATAAATATTTCCTCATTAGTCCATGTCGCCAAGTTGAAACAATTTTATTAAGCCTACTAGACACTACAGTCTACTCCGACGCGTAACTATGAACTGAACACTCGGCCAACGTGTGAACACTGTTTGCGGCTTGCGCCAAATTCCTTTGATTTGTGCACGGAAAACCGACACTATACGGCTCGTCGGCGAGCGTTGGCCGCAAACGCCAAATATATACAAAACGGCCCAGTACACGTTGGCCGAGTGCACTCGCCGAGCGCGCTCGGCCAACGTGTACTGGAGCCATCATATCTATCGACAAGTGAAGACAAGCGAGTGTGTGTTACAATCGAAGCTAACCTTTCGATTCGCGTTTACTCACCGAGAATCGCGTTAGTTCCTTCTCTTATGTTGGTAACACGTGAGCATCGTGAAATAAACTAACCAAGTTTAGGATGACATATTTACTTAGTCGTCTTAATATTAGAAGCTGTCTATCAAAGTTGTGGTTATTATAGCATCTTTCATATACTTTGACAGTTTGTTTGTTGTGAACTTACGATTTATTTATTAATTGAAATTATTAAATTATACTAATAATTATAAGTAAAAAAATATGAAGACTAGTTCGTCCCAATTTGATTTGATGGTGACATATATGGAGCAGTAAGTTGAATTTAATTTATTTAGTGTTTAGGGAACATATTAATATGTTGTTGTATATTTTATAACAACTAAGTTTATTGGTTTTAGGCATGGAGATCTCAGCAAACCATCGAATAATGCTAGAGGTAGGATAGCTTGTATAAAAAACTGGGAGGAGTTAGGTCAATTTTTGAATAGTGATGGTAGTGGTGATACAAAAAGTACTGAGAAATGGAAAAAGGTACGTCTAAATGATTATTTATTTTTACCTATTTTGGTTTAAACTGGGTTGTGGTTCTCTAATTTTGTGAAACATTTGCTTCTCTGCTCCCTTTAAGGTTTGGAGTGATTATAAAAATAATATTAAAAAAAAGGCTGCTCGTCTACATAAAGCAGCTAGAGGTACTGGTGGTGGGCCTGCTACACATGTCAAATTAACAGACTTAGAACAAAGAGTCCTAAATTTGATTGGTTTACAAGTAGCTACGGGCTTGGCAGTTGAAGAGGCTGGGCTGTCAAAGGTTACAACTTTAACTTAAATTAAACCACCTGCTAGTAGGTTATATATCTCATAAATTGTATTTTCTTTCAGGGGACTTATGTTCAGGCTAATCCCTCAGTGAACCTTGAACAAGGAATACCAACTCCACAACCACCTCAATCAGTAGAATGTAAGTAGCATATTATTAACAAATGATTAAGAGTACATATTATATTATATTAACAATGTTTTTTTTTAAATTTTAGGTACTTCAAAACCTGCTCAGGAAAATATTTCCCCACAACTGCCACCAACACTGCCGAGGGCTATATCTTCATCATCTCTTGCCTTTGCAGAGGAAGTTCAAAGTAATATATAACTTACTTATTAGACAGTATAAAATCTTCAAGCTAGTACTGAGTTTGTTCTGGGAATCAAACCCAAAAATTCTTGCTTGGCAGCAGCCCATTGAACCACTAAACCAATTATTGTGTGTGTGTGTTTTCTTTCTCTGAATAAATTAAAAGTAATAAAATATACATGAGCCACTCAATGTACACTCAAGTGGTTAAATATGAATAAATCTTACTTTTAGATAAAAATTAATTAATTTTATAAATTTAAAAGCTAACTTCTCTGTCTTTTTGTTTATTATACACAACTACTATATTGATTTTGTTGCAAATTTCATTTATATTTTTCATATTTTAGGTTCTCAGCCATGGAACGACCCAGGGCCATCAACACAACCTCATGTTGCCCCAGCAAATACTGTGACATCTCCGGTTATTTCATTTGTGGAGGTACAAATGGAAAGTAAGATAGAACTTTAATTATTCATGAAGGTGATAATTTTAAATAAATTTGATAACATATTAACATTACAGAAATTATTACAGATACGGGCACACTCTCTCCAACTATGCTCTCATCTCAAGTCCAAGATAGTCAACCAGGGCCTGCTTTGTCGGGGCAAACTACACCTTGCCGTGCAAGACCAATTCGTACTCGAAGATCACCTCGAAGACGAGTGAGGCCAGCACACACAGAGCAGGCAGCACAACAGTTTCTCAGAGCCGTAGAACACTGGAGAAACTTTAAAAGACAGCAACACCAAGACTACATGGACTTGAGAAGGGAGCGAAATAGAATCAGGGAGTTGGAACTTCAGTCTCAGAGAGAGTGGCAAGCATTAGGATTAAGAGCTATAGATATGTTAGATAAAGTAGTTAATAAGTATTGTAAAGATTAGTCAATTTTTTTCTATTAAAAGTACGTAGTATTTTAAAAATAAAAGTAGTTATATAAAAATAAGTGATATTCATTCTGTAAATAATAGGAACAGACACAAGCTAGTAGTACCAATTACTCGACTCCACCAAGTCCGTAATTCATTCTTGGGGCAATATATACGCTTTTACAACAAAATCCCAGAAAACATACAAAATTTGACCTGGAATTTATGGATGATAATAACCCTTGAGAATGAGGTGATCGCTACCAAGCTATTTCTAATTTGTTTTGTGTGGTTATTTGTGTAACATACATGATTGTAAGCTGTTATTTAAAAAAAGTCCCTCTGGGTTTCTTGCTGGTTCTTCCCAGGACAGAGGTTTTTCTTTTGAACCAGTGGTTATTAAACAAAAGAGTGACTTTCAATAAGTACTTTTACTCCTTATTAAAATATCAAACTGAATATCAGCGCTCACTGCCAGGTTCTTTAGGGACAGTGTGTGTTAATAATATGACAAGCAGTAATACTTCATTTTCTTTACCTACACTCTATGATAGTACCATAACAAAGCAGATAAATTTAAAAAGTAATTCATATAATGAAAAAAATAATATAATTGTGTATAGTGATGACATAGGCAAAAACTTGGGTATATCATTGAATAACTGTTTAAAAAGGCAACAGATAAGTAATTACTGCATGCCTGGAGCATCATTCAGTGATATTATGAATAAAATTTTAACTAGTAAATTTAACCCTAATAGTATATTAATAATTTTTGTTGGGAGAAGAGGCAATATGAACAAGAATCAATTATTAAAATATATTGAATATCTCAATAACATAAATGTGGTTAAAGTTATCTTGTTTACATTGCCTTATATAGAGGGGTGGCCACAGGAAAATAAACTAAGACATAATTTAAATTTAATGATGCATAACTTGACATGTAACAATAACTTAAATTTGACATTTAATTGTAAGAATAATAATGATAAATTTCATTTAATTGATATTAATAATTTAACTAAGAAGTTTTTGACAAGAGATAGGTATTACCTATCAAAGTATAGTTTAAGACTGGTAGCAGATACGCTATCTTATTATTTATATTTTAACTCAGCCAATGATTTGGCTACCTTGACACCTGCTTCTTTTGAGCAACAAAATAATTTTACATTTGATTTGGAACCAGTTCCAAGTAATTTAAATTAGATAATAAGACAATAGAGGTAATCTCTAGCAAAGATAATTTAAATAGCTTAGAATGCAACTTACCAATACATAATTATGCAATTTTACAAAATAAAAATAATAAAAACTGTATCAACCTGGTGCATCAAAATATACAAGGTATGTTAGGCAAAGAATTAGAAATTGAATTATTTTTAAATAGTAACAGTATAAATATTTTATGTATTACAGAACATTGGTTGAAAGAATACAACTCCATATTTAATTTCAGTAATCACCAGGTGGTCAGTTCGTTCAATAGAGATACTAAATTACGTGGTGGCTCCTTAATATTAGCTAATAAGTCCTTATCATGTAAAGAACGTAAAGACATTGTGAGCCTCTCTGTTGAGCGTACTGTAGAAATGGCATGTGTTGAGCTTGAGCACCTTATTGTTGTCAGTGTTTACAGACCCCCATGTTCAAGTTATGATACTTTTGAAAAAATTATGGAAGAAGTATTAGTTAAGCTTAATAAACAGAATAAATCTCTTGTAGTGTGTGGAGACTTTAATATCAATCTCCTGGAAACTTCTTCCATCAGTATTAAATTCTGTTCTTTGTTCAAATCCTATAATCTTAATAATTTATTCTTTGAAGCTACACGTATTGCAGGGTGTAGTGCAACTTGTATTGATAATATTTTTACAGGTGTTGTACCAATCAACAAATCAATAATTCAAAAACTTAGTTCAGATCACTGTGGACAACTGGTTTCGTTACCTTATATGCACAAAAAACAGGTAAATGAGAAAATTGTGTTTGTTCCTATTAATGCAAAACGCCTGGAGAGATTTAGAAGTAATATGTTAAAAATCCTTCCATCCCTTTCTTATAAGAACAATGCAGACTATTTATATAGAGAATTATTTACCTTTATAAACAATGAATTTAATAAAACATTCACTTCTAAAACATTCTCCAGAAACAGTCGCAAGGCATTTAATGAGTGGGCGACAGTAGGAATTCATAAAAGCAGACGAAGGTTATATGACCTTTACCATGAAAGATCGTATAATCTTTCCGATGCTTTTAAAGAATATGTAAAAAATTATTCTAAAATGTTTAAAAGAGTTTGCTCCACAGCCAAATCATTACATATTAGTAACAAAATTAAGACAGCTAAGAATAAAATTAAAATGACGTGGAGTATAATTAACAGCGAAACCGGTAATGAGAAACCTCGTAATTCAAACTATCAATTAAAAATTAATAATGAATTGACTAAATCAAATCAAGAAGTTGCAGCGGTGTTTGAGAAATATTTCACTGATGTTCCTATCTTGACAACAGAGTCATTGAATGCTTCTCCAACTGTCGCCGAATCATTACTTAAACAGAATGTTAATACCTGTTTAAAAGAATTTAGATTTGAAAAAGTATTACCGCATAATATTGTAAAATACTTCAAAACCATTGATGTAAAGAAAACCGCAGATTTGTGGGGGATTTCCGTTACAGTGATTACGTCCATAATAGATTTAATTGCACCTCATCTTGCTATTATTTTTAATACTTGTATCGATTCTGGTGTGTTTCCTGATTTAATGAAGTATAGTAAAGTAATACCTTTATTTAAATCTGGTAGTACATTGGACCCCGCTAATTATAGACCTATTTCTGTACTACCAACTCTCAGTAAAATTTTTGAAAAAATAATTTTGGATCAATTGTTAATTTTTTTTAATACAAATAAATTACTTCATAAAAATCAATTTGGTTTTACAAGGGGTCGCTCGACGTCTGACGCCGGTGTTGAGCTTATGAAATATATTTTTAATGCCTGGGAGAATTCACAAGATGCCTTAGGTATTTTCTGTGACCTTTCCAAGGCTTTCGATTGTGTTCATCATGATACATTAATCAGGAAACTACAACATTACGGTGTAAAAAATTTGGCGCTTAAACTTATTACTTCATATTTAAGTAACAGAACTCAAAAAGTCGTCATTAATGGTAAATGTTCCTCCGGATCGGTAGTATCAATGGGCGTTCCTCAGGGCTCGATTCTTGGCCCATTCCTGTTCTTAATCTATATTAATGACTTACCTTATCTTGTAGGGGACAATCACGATATAGTATTATTTGCTGACGATACCTCTTTAATTTTCAAACTGAAACGGCAGTCAATTAAATATGACGATGTAAATAATGCTCTATCGAAACTAGTACATTGGTTTAACGCCAACAATTTGCTCTTAAACGGCAATAAGACAAAATGTATTAAATTTACAATACCTAATGTAAAACATTCGAAAACCAATGTGCTCTTAAATGGGGAGGAGTTGAGTCTTGTGGATACCACTGTTTTTCTCGGTATTACTATTGACGCGAAACTTCAATGGGGCCCCCATATATCTAAATTAGCAAGCAGACTTAGTTCTGCAGCATATGCTGTAAGAAAGATTAGAAGTCTCACAGATGTTGAGACAGCTAGGTTAGTGTATTTTAGTTACTTTCATAGCGTAATGTCTTATGGAATTTTGCTATGGGGTAATGCGACTGATATTGAAGCTATATTTGTTTTGCAAAAGAGAGCCGTACGGGCGATTTATAATCTAAATTGTAAAGAGTCCCTTAGAGAAAAATTTAAAGAAATAAACATATTAACTTTGGCATCGCAATATATTTATGAAAATGTAATGTATGTACATAAAAACATAAATAGCTTTAACCCATTCATTGCCACTTACATTTTAAAAACATCACCTGGGTGCCAGTAAATATTTTTGTGGATTACGAAAGAAAAGGCGTAATTGAATGTGTTCTTTAATTATAAAAATCCCGTAAATAACAAAAACCCATCTAAAAATGGTAAACGCACCATACATGTTGGTGGCACTGGTAAGAGAAATTTAATCATAAGTGCCATTCAACATGCCGTTTGCGTTGACGTTTGGATAGTATTAAACAACATGTTTTGAGAGACTGCTGATGCCCAATATGTCAATATGGCTGCTGTTTTATTTATATAATCAATGTTTGTTTATAGATAGGTGTAAGTTATTGTTTTATACACATAATATTACTTTATTATATCCTAAGTTTTTGTATCTTATGTATTTATAACTACTAAGTAACTTTTTAAAAACTTAAATAAATAAAGAATTTAATATTAGTATTACTTCCATATATATATATCCACTTTGTATATTGTTACATTTATATTGTTACATTGAGTGGGTTGACTATTTTATTATACGTAGGTTGGTTAACAATAAAAGTGAGAGAAACCCATGAAGACAATCATTTATTATTAAAAATAAAAAATAACAATTAATAGTTATGGTACTCTTTGAAACAATCATTCAAACAAAAACCGTATTGTTCGGGACAATCGGGACAGAAATATGAAGTGTCTTTTCGGATTTTTTTAGAAACCCAGCACTGTCTACACCGACGTCGTAAAATTTTTCTCTTTCTGCCATCATTTTTACGGGAACACTGTTGAAGAACATGCACTTGATTTTTTGGAACTGAGCCACGTATTGTGTCTTCTTCATCAATATTTAACAATTTCGTTATGATTTCAAGCCTGTAATCATAGAAACTTTTCTTTGTCGAAAAAATGTTGTGAAGTGTGTACGAATTATATAACATTTGCTGGAACACGTGAACTCCTAACTTCTTGTACCAACGTATAGTTTTGTGCTCACATGAGTAATATGCAAGCATTTGATCCTGATGATCTATACCACCCATGTACTTATTGTATTTTACAACAACTTCAGGCTTGGAAACGGTCTCACCGCGTCGATTCGTAACGATGGTCATATCGGATCCATATTGTGATGAAATCATTAAAACGTCCCGTCGGTCTCTCCATTTCATAACACCAATACCACTACTATTGAATTTCGCTATCGATTCGCCACGTTTCAATTTTCTAAGTAAGACTTCTTTTGGATTATTTTTTCGATTTATACGTAAAGTACCTGTACAATATGTTTTAAGAGACAACAATTTTTGTGCAAGATTTACTGAATTATAAAAATTATCCATATAAACGGAATACCCCTTTTTGAAATAATCCGATAGTAAATTCAAAACAACTTTTTCGCTGTGATTGGCTCCTCCTACTAAAGTATCCGAAGCGCCGGTATATACAATAGTCTTCATAATTACCCCATATTCGTCAGTTAGTATATAAAGTTTTATACCGTAGGGATGCTTTTTGCCTTTTAAATATTGACGGAATATTAAACGACCACGAAACAAAACCATTGACTCATCTATGGCCAGATTTTTAGACGGGAAATAAATTTCTCCCATTCGCTGGTTAAAAAAGTTGATTAAACTTATTATTTTTGCCAGCCTGTTATCGGATAAGTCATCTTCAAAATTTAATGATCTCATTATTAACAGAAATCTGTTTCTGCTCATGTGTTTTGAAAAAGCTGGTAAATTAAACAGTGGATGCCTTTTCCAGTAGTCTGTGACTCGATTTAGTTTGATAGTTCCCATGTGAAACAAAATACCAATAAAAATGTTTTAATTTCTGGAACAGTTACATCTTTCCATAGTCTCAGTCTGCTGTTAGGATCTAATATATTCGACAATAACTTAAACGCGTAATTGTTAATCTTTGTGACTAACATTGTAAAAAACTCATCAGTCGCAATCAATTTGAAATAGCCGTATGGTTCATATGTTTCAGGCAATATTTTGAGTTTTTTTTCGTATCCATCAAAATCTATAGGTACAATAGTAGGATCACGTTCACTTTTCCATTCATCATCAGTTAATTGTAATGTTTCATTAAAATTTATATTATTATCTTCGCTCAATTGTGTCCTATCTTCACTTATTTGCGTCGCGTCTTCACTCGCGTCAGAATATAAGCAATCATCTGATAGATTTTCCTGATCACTTTCCTCTTCTGTATAGTCATCTTCTAATTCCAGCATCTTAATAAGTTCTTCTTCAGTCAATAGTTTTGTAGAGGATAGTTTTGCTTTCGGTTTTTCTTCTTTATCTTCCCCTTCAAATATATTTCTCATTTCATCCATAATATCTAAATTTGGCACTGATTTATCTAGATCTGTATGAATATTTTTTTCATTCTTTAGGTCATCATTACCTTCACTATTTTCTTCTAAATTAATCAATGTTACTTGACCATCGTGTAAGTCTACTTTTTGACATTTAAGTATTTTAATACCTGTATTTCGGCGCATTCCCCCTCTTGTTTTAACGCCGCTTCTTAAAAAGGAAAGGTTTTCATTGTCTGGGGGTGAATATAAAAAAGGTGAATGTTTACTCGAGGAAGGTTGAGGTTCTATTAGCATATCTAAGTCCCTATCTCTACATATAGATTTGTTTTCCTGACGATTAATCAATGTACAGCATTCATCTAATGAACCGACAAGAGGCTTAGATATTTTTTCAGAATCACTATATTGTGAGGCAAGGAAAAGCGATTTGGCACGCTTTGATTTTTTAGACGGTGTAGTTACTATATGTTCTGTTGTCACGGTTTCAAATCTGAAAAATAATATAAAAGTTATTAAAAATTTATATTGGTATTTTTATAAAAATTTATATTTTTATGGTGTAAATTAATATAAATACTAACGCTTGTGGAGACGGTATTTCGTGAATTGTGTAACGTCGTCTCGGTGTCATTCTGCTAAAACAAATAAAGATCCATCAATTTAGAATTTACTTGAACACAAACAATATTATCAATATTTCTTTTAACACACAAAAAAAATACTTTCAAGATTATTTAAAGAATCACCAACCTCTTGTTACCGTAAGGGATTGTATCGTCTTCCTTTAAAACTAGGTCTAATAATTTATCGCTTCTTCGTTTCATCGTATAAAGGGTTCTGAAAAAATTTTTGCTTTTTATTAAAACCACTCCATCGTAATATGACCATTTCTTCCACCGCAATACCAAGGCATTGTGAGTTAGTAAGCAGTTTGTTGAGAAAAAACATACAATAAAGGAAAACCGTTTCTATTTTGGGAGTCACCTCAGAAAAATGTACAACAAAAAATCATAATAAACTTATTATTTATTTTAGCACTTTGTCAGTACTTTTGTCACGTTAGTTACGAAAAGAGACATTAATCGGCAGGATAATGTTCATAAACAGATAAATTACATATTTGGCACCAAAAGTTGCAAAAAAACATTTTTTTTAAACATTTCGTCTTCATTGGTAAGAATAAAATGTGGCAGTGAATACAATGTTGTACTGTGACCACAACAAAAACACAAGTCACGTCTTATAAGTATGTCAATGGCCATTTTAAATTTTGTTGCCAAAATAAATAGAAGTCTGTTCGATTGAAGTAATCATCCACGTCTAGCAAGATTACCATTGCATATAATGTAATTATGTAGCATTAAGTATACCTCTGTATATTCATTGTAATTCTCTGAAATTAACCTACAACAAATAAAAATTAGTAGATAGTTAGTTACAATATGTTTTGTACATTATCTACACAAAAATTAGGTAAAAAATAGAGAACATTCATTGGTCTGGAATCTGGATAATTTATGGTATCATACGAAAGGGAATGAAAATACGAACCTAAAAGTGCAAAAATAATATTACACGTATTTCATTAACAAATAGGAGAGTTATAAGAACTTAAAAATAACGAAAAATTACTTTTTTAAATAATAAAAATCTATCATATAAATCTTCACATAAATAATAACTATCTTTTAACAACTAGTTTTATTTTTCGCGTACCTATTTTTTAAGCATAAAATTAATAATAATATATGGATTTTCTCTATTTTTATTCGGACCTAAGTGTGTTTTAGGCATTGTTCATGTACTTTATTTTCACGCACGGTGAACTGAGGTGTCCAAAACAGAAAGGTTATGACCGGTGCATTTAGAAAAGATTAATCTTACGTTTAATGACAATATTTTATTTAAAAAACATTGTCATTAAACGTAAGATTAATCTTAGTCAAGGAGACATGTGAACACTGCCAGCATCTGTTTCATAATGAATATTTTAATCAACATGTTAGTAGGAATAAGCATGAACTTAAAACGTTCCTACGAATTATGGTGTGAGCGGAGGTCAGCAGTTGTATTTGGAGATATATAAAAGGAAGTCGATACGTAAGCACTACCAGGAAGATTTGAGCGAATGGACGGATACTATAAATGCTACTGTGGAAGTAATAAAAATATGTTTCTATCTGTGGGTTCATAATTTAAACCTTACATTTTTTTATTTCTAAAATATAGCGGCCATCTTGTAAAATATTTAGTAATTAAATTCATTACGCATAATAAATTTTACTTTATAAGTGTAAAAAAGATTAAAAAATACTAGACATCATACATTTTTAAAATTATTTGTACCTTATGCATCGTGCATAAAACTATCCAATAAAGTTTTTTACTGCTATGCCAACGAACGGGCCGTATGCGTTCATGTGACTTTATTTTACAAATACACGATAAAACAATGGAAAAGAATGAATAAATTAAGGATAGTGCTTACCTTTATCTGCTAATTCACAAATATATAATGAACACTCGTTAAAACTCAAGTTATTTTAAATTCAAAATAGGCGTTCTGAGCACAGAACACTAATACCCTTAGGCGGGGTTCTGAGTACCGATCTTTTTTTCATTGTCAAAACAAGAATGACAGTCCGAAGCAAAAACCATCGGTGTTTCCACATTTAAAACTTATTTCTAACTGTTAATGTTGCCATAGATTTAAATAAATTTCTACCGTTTTTAAGAAATGCAAAAAAAAACTCAAGACGTCACTCAACATTTACGGTGCGTTGGTGGCATGACGTAGTAATCTCGATCAACGCAAATGGTACGTTGGTGGCAACGAATGGGTTAATAAGAATAAGGATGTTCATACCTTAAACACTAGGAACAAACATAAGCTTGTAATGCCACTTACAAGACTCCACAGAATTAGTAATTCATTTATGGGACAATGTATACGCTTTTACAACAGAATCCCAGAACATGTTCAAAGTTTGTCAATAAACAAGTTTAAAAGTTTTATTAAAGAAAAACTGTACAAAAAGGGTTATTATAATATCAAGGAATACATGAGTGAAAATAACCCCTGGGAATAAGGTGATCGCCACCATGCTGGTTCTATGAAAATTCATTTAAAATGTATAATCAAAATTATTGTTAAGTGAAATTATGTTTAAAAAAAAAGTCCCGCTGGGTTTCTTGCTGGTTCTTCCCAGGACAGGAGGTACTTTCCGAACCAGTGGTAAATAAACTAATGACTTTCAATAAGTATTATGTAATAATCCATATTGAATAAAAATCATTCTATTCTATTCTATTCTATTCTAGTATTATTTATAATCTATATTAAATAAAAAAGTTTGTTCTGTAAATAAACAATATTCTTGTTACCTATATTATGTTACTATTAATTAAATTAAGTTTGTAAGGCTGGTTATAAATAAAAGAAAGCTTATTCAAATTTATTTATTTTGTTAGGACTTACACTTATTTTGTTACTTAACATCTCCCCTCAATAAAATATTTTTAATAACAATAAGACTTCTTATTTACCAAACAACCTATCCCTTAATTTTCTAAACAAAGTTCCCCCAAAGCTTTGGTTAATATGTCTGCGAGTTGGTCACTGTTATTTATATATCTCAATTCTATAATATTTTTATCCAACTTTTCTTTTACAAATGAAAGCTTTATTTCTAAGCGTTTTACTCTAGAATTACCAGTGGCCATCTGTGCCATCTTGATAGTGGACTGGTTGTCTTCAAAAATTACTATATTAGTCTGGAACCCAAAAATGTACAAAACATCTTTTAGCCAACAAGCTTCACTGCTTACTGAACACAGGGCAATAAATTCAGCCTCTGTAGAGGACAAGGAAACAGTCTGCTGTTTTTTTGAAATTTACATTACAGAACTTCCAAAATCTTTAAAAATACAGCCTGTTGTTGACTTACGATCATTACAACCACCCCAGTTACTATCAACATAGCCTAAAACCTCATCAACATTAGAATCTCTAGTATATAAGACATAAATCACGTGTGCCCTTTAAATATCTCAAAATGTTTAACAATAGTTTAAACAAAAGTGTGGATCATAGATTACCTCCTAATAGATTCCGCATACAGGGCCACAAAAGCGCGCAACACATACTTGCTGTAGCTAGCATACGAAGCGAAGCTAAGAATCACGACATCAGTATCGACCAAGTTTGTGATCCGTAGGCATGTCCGAGTTCTTGAAAATTTAAAAATAGTTTTGTATCCAAAATACATTACAAATGGCTTCCTGTGCAGTAAAATGGTGTGACAAGTCAGCTAAGACATCCAGTTATCAAAAAGATGGCATAAATTTTAATTGGTAAGTAAATTCTATTCTTATCACGTTAACCTATTTAAAATGCACCGGAGATCAACTTATACTGGTATATTAATGGTGCAAAGTGATAACAATTAAGCACCCGTTGATATCTTTTTGAAATGTCCCTTTCACTCGTTACGTAAATTACAATAGTTGTCTTTGTCTAACAACAGGACGTGTATCGATAGTGTTGTGATTTTTAAGTCGATATTTGCTTGGTCATCGTTTAATTATTTTTTTCGAAGTCAAATTATTTTATAAAAATAGTGACGTATCATTGTGGTACCTATATGTTATAGGTTTCCTAAATGCCCCGAAAGGAAAAAAGATGTGGATCGATGCAAATTGTCGAGGGGACGAATGGTTTCCCACCAAAAATAGTGTACTATGCTCAAAACACTTCACAGAAGACAATCTTCATAATATTATGTAAAATCGTATAAAGCTGTTGGATTCTTGCCAGTTTTGGTATGGACTTTTGCATTTTTTTTAAAGATTAGTACTAACGTGGATTACACAATAATATCATTAAGTGGTTGAGTGAAACATGATATTCTTATATTTAGGTAAATGTTACACGTCGAAATCAAGATATTTTGAACGGATTTATAAATCATAAAACTTGTAAAAGTTATAATGTGATTATTGTTTTCACTTGGTATTTAGTGTTACATGAACTTCAGTATTATCTTATTATAATTATTAAGTACATCTAAATTTGGAAGACGTGCCGTATGGTGTATTAATTAATAATACTATATCGGTAATGTTTTAAAAGAAACGAATATGTATTTCTGATTTAGATTACTGGTTCACCGCTGAAAGACGTGAAAAACCCGCCAACACCTAAAAATCAGAATCATTGCTTAGAAACGCCTACAAAACAAAAAAGAAAATTTTCTCCTATACCTGATACGCCAACTGCATTTGATACTCCAGTTAAAAACGTCTTTGTAGAAGAATCATCGAATTAACCAACGTAATGAACAAAAAAGATAAAAAAGTTAAAAACAGAAAAACAACAGAAGACTAAAAACACAAATAGTTTCTTTGAAGTCATTATTGGTAGAATTAGAAAACAAAAATTCATTAGCAGCGGAAAACAATGACGCATTAAGTTCCTTACAAAAATCAAAATCTAGAAAATCAGGCAAAATTGTTAGAAAAAAATATTCACCACAATTAAGAGCTTTTGCACTCACCATAAATTACTCAGCTAGGCTTATAATTATGTACGCAAAACATTTAATACTTCTTTACCTTCTGTAAAAACACTAGGAAAGTTTGTAGTTTTAACACAATCAATTAAGCTTAATTATAAATAATAATTATAATAAAATTATAATAAAATTATATATATATATATATATATATATATATATATATATATATATAATAAAAATCATAAATATAAATAAATAATCATTAATAATAAATATAAATAAATAAGCAGTTTTGTTAATGATGATATTTTTAATGAAATAAAAAAATCACCAATTCGATCACAAAAATTGTAATCATGTCATTGATTTAGCTAAGAGTGTTATGGAAAAATACATAGACATACTCGTAAGATTACTCTACTCATCCAGGAAGACAGATCCTAAGAATTCTGTGAGACAATTTTATACTAAGATTATCCATTTTAAAAATCAGTCAAATATATATTTATAAATTAAATGTATAAATATATGTAAACAATGTTTAATTTTTTAATAAACATCAAATAAAAATTGATCAATATATTTATTTATCATTATCAATAATCAATAAATCCCAAATTTATCGATCAACGTCCCAACCCTGTTCCATCACTATGGTTTGGTAAATTCTAAGTTTGACCTTTAAATATCCAATCACAGCGCATTTGCCACGTCCCCCGCAACCCTTGCATAGGGCCAAATTTGGTGAACTCGAAACAGAACAAATATTCAATGATGCGGTATCTATTAGGAGGTAATCTATGGTGTGGATGCACAATTCTGATACCGACTTAGAATATTAACAACTGCACATATGTCTGGCCTAGTGCCCATTGCCGCATACATCAAGCTTCCTATCAATCTTCTACATTTATTTTCAATTAGAACACTGACTTTTCCCTCTTTAGAATATGAAAATTAAAATCTTTATCAATAGTTAATGACAATGTTTTGCAATCTGACATATTATATTCTGACAAAATGTTTCTTATGTAGTCCTTTTGTGAAATTAGTGACCCCTGAATCTAAATCTTGGTTTACTTTGTTTGACATAGCGTGTTTCTTAGTTTACTCTGCTCAAGTTTGTTGTTTCCAAAATACAGTATATCGTCCACATACAACAATAAGGATGTTTTATTTTTCCCTTCACATTTAGAATACAAACAATAGCCCTTATCGAACTGTTTATAATCCATAGATAACATTACATTATTAAATGTTTCATTCCAATATTTGGGAGACCTTTTCAAACCATAGATTGATTTATTTAGTTTTACAAATTTTACCTCAGTTTCCTCTGGCAGTGACAAATATAACTCCTCATCAAGCTTAGCATTTAAAAAAGCTTCGCAAACATCCATTTGACTAATATTCAAAGTTAGTTTTGTAGCTACAGATACAAAAATTCTAAAAGTATCCTGTTCTTCCCCTTGGTCTTCATCCGTATTTGTGTCATGGAACTCTTCTTCACTTTCCTCATGTTGCTCTACTACTTCGTTCTCAGATGACATGTCCAGCAAAACCATTTCCTCCATCACCTCCTGGTCACATTTCCATTCCTCCACCTCTCTTGCCTTCCAAAAATACTACATCCCTTTGGGTATGGACCTCTCGTCTGATCTCATAATACACTCTGAAACCTTTTGATATTATAGTAATTCAATTTAAAATTAAGATACCTACCTATATTTTCCTCTGTATCCTCAACACCAAAATTAATAATTATATTATGTAACACAGAGCATGCTAAAATAATGTGTGCACATTTTACGGGCTTGTAATGCAAAACTCTATCCTTGTGCAGACATCTCCATCGATTTTTCAACCTTGAAAATGTGTTTTTAATAACAACTCGAGCTCTCATGTGCTTTTCATTATAATTATTGGACTCAGCGTCTAAAAATGGTGTCATAAGCCACAGGCGGTAGGGATATCCAGAATCTCCTAGAGTTAAAATATACATGTTATTTTCAATAATATAGATAGAAATTATTTAGTAATGTTTTACTTAAAAATACTTCATACACTTAACTCAAAACATCCCAATAAGTTATACTCTAGATATATTACCTAAAAGCCATACAATTTCTCCATTTCGGTGCAAAGATTGCATGTATGTGTTTAAACCACTGTTTTCCCCTTATAAAGGAATCACGATTTGCACCTGCAAACTTGGAATTCAAATTTAAAATTCTATATTCATCATCACATACCTGAAAAGAAGACATTTTGTTTATTTTTTACCCCTTTTTAACCAATGAATAATAAAATAAAAAAACTTAAGATTTACCACTGTCACTTGGAATTTCCACACGCTCCAGTTGCGCTGGCCCTCCAGTATGATGACCGAGTTTGGCGCCACCACCGCCATGATGCTAGGGTCTGTCTCCAACATTTAGCAACTATACCACGTGGAAATCTGATGCCGTGATTTGCCTCGATTGCACTCCACACGACCTCCTTCAGACGCCGCTTTCAACAACAACACAGCCTTGTGTTGTTGACCAAAACACGTTGCACACCGATTGCGCTGACTCCTCGCTCGCACCAAAAACTATCTCTTTGATCTTCGCCTAAAATAGAATTATGAGCACTGGGCCCATAACCTGTTAGGACTTTGCAAATAAACCATTAGTTATTTCTTCAAGATGCTCGTTTATTCTGTTTTAATTAGGTACATCGCAGAACACTAAAACACAAGAGATTCCAGCCATCCCAGCTTACCAGAGAGTATATATCATGTTGCCAGTACAAAAATATTTAATTGTACTTAACATATTTAATCCCTATAGTACCCTTCTTGCTAATTGATCTCTTAATATTCTACCTCTAATTAAATCAGAGGTAGCTTCTCTTTCTGTGTAAGTTATTTGATCAGATTCCATTGTCCTTTCAAATTGCAGACCTAAAAATAATTCATAATTAATAAGTTAGCTTAATATATTATAGTAATTCAATTTAAAATTAAGATACCTACCTATATTTTCCTCTGTATCCTCAACACCAAAATTAATAACTATATTATGTAACACAGAGCATGCTAAAATAATGTGTGCACATTTTACAGGCTTGTAATGCAAAACTCTATCCTTGTGCAGACATCTCCACCGATTTTTCAACCTTGAAAATGTGTTTTCAATAACAACTCGAGCTCATGTGCTTATCATTATAATTATTGTTTCAGCGTCTAAAAATGGTGTCATAAGCCATGGGCATTGGGGATATCCAGAATCTCCTAGAATTAAAATATATATGTTATTTTCAATAATATAGATAGAAATTATTTAGTAATGTTTTACTTAAAAATACTTCATATAAATCAAAACATCCCAATAAGTTATACCCTGGATATATTACCTAAAAGCCAGACAATTTCTCCATTTCGGTGCAAAGATTGTATGTATGTGTTTAAATCACTGTTTTCCCATATAAAGGAATCATGATTTGCACCTCCAAACTTGGAATTCACATTTAAAATTCGATATTCATCATCACATACCTGAAAAGAAGACATTTTGTTTATTTTCTACCCCTTTTTAACCAATGAATAATAAAATAAGAAAAAAACTTAAGATTTACCATTTGAACATTAAGTGAATGGTAGTGCTTACGACTATAATACAAATGTTCCTCTTCTTTTGGTGGAACAACTATTTTAAAATGACTTCCATCAATACAACCAACCACTCCAGGAATTCCATATTTTCTGTAAAAACTGAATTTTAAAATAAATATTTACTGAATCTAATGAATAATATGCATAAGGTTGTTTAAAAATAAGCATATATTTATTACCGTTGACTAACTGCTTGTCGAGCAGCTGGAGTGTCAGGGAACCGAATATATTTATTTATTATATTTTTGTGTGTCAGCGCCTGGGTAACTTCTTCTATGTACACACTGCACATTTTTTGAGACGTGTGCTTTGCAATCCCAACTGGCCTTTGGTAAGATCCAGTTGCAAAAAAGAATAGAGCAGTGAGCACCTGCAGAGAACAAACTTATATTTAAACTTGCACTTGTTTTAAACTTGAGTTGCAAAAATATGAATACTTTAATGATCGATACGTACTTTATGTTCCAAGGAAACGCGTTGAGAGGAGCTAAGATTTGTCAAACTCCTTAGCTCTTTACACAAAAACTTGAACACTTTCTTGGAAATGCGATACCTATCTTTAAATTGCCTCCCCGTGAGGTGTAACAAAGGGTTGAAAGATGCACGAGCTCTTGATTCAACATCGGCGTTATAATTGCGGTCATCTTGTGCCTTAGCGGTTGCAAACATCCTCCATGCGAAATAAAAACGTCCTGCCATAATTAAATATTGTTCACACAAAACGAAATAAAACGAAGCCTTCAACAATCCTTCTCACTATGCTTTCTCACTGTCAAATTTTAGGTGAAAACTTTTTCGATATCGACGGCGTAAAGTTTGTTTATGTTACGTATCGAACGATCAAAATTGGATCTCGCCATAGATAAGAGTGTAGATCTAGGGATGTGAAAAAATAATCGATTTTCATATTAATCGATTATTTTTTTCTTATAATCGATTTTTCAAAGTCGATTTTTTTAATAATAATAATCGATTTATTAAAAATCGATTTTTATGTAAATTACGCGTTGCAATCGATTTTTGTAATCAGAGTCATCTGTGCGATGGATGTAAAAACGTGAAGTAAGTTCAATAACATGAATAAGTCAATCAAAAGACGGTGCCACCTTTATGTATCTCTATGTATGTAAAACAGTTTCGCTTTTCGTATGTTTTCAACAGGTTTCTTCCTCCGCTAGGAGTAAAAGTATTCTGTGGTTTTCTTTCTTTCTTTGGTTAGTGTAAACAATTATATATAAACAATAAAAATGTCTTGTGAAACGCGTAAAAGTGACTGACAGAAGTATTTTATAATGAAAAAATGATAGCGGCCAACACGTCAATAGGCAAAAATACTGAATTGGATCTATATATTGCGGCACCACTATCAAATCTCAAGGCAGATGCCCTCAATATATGGAGAAGCTCTGAAGGAACTTTCCCTAAACTAACCGAATTGGCTTTTAAACACCTCTCAGTGATGGCCAGTTCCGCGCCAGCCGAAATATTATTTTTGAAAGCGGGAAATATTGTCAGGAAAAAACGAAACCGTATTTTGGGAAAGAGACGAAGAAGAATTTTGGTGAAATGATTGTTTTTAAAGTCTTTAACTGAAAATTCATGGCAATATTTTTTTTACTTTTTTTGTTTACACAAGTTTAAAAAAAGATTTGTCTCGTATTTTAGTTTTGAGATCGAAAGGTTGTCGTCGGATTATTTATAATTATATTTTTATTTTATTTTCATTCTAATCCAATGTAAATGATACTGAACATTAGTGGCATAATGATATTTAGACTTTTTGTTTGTTGAAACTTAGTTTAAAAAAACTATCGTTTACTAAAATTATGGTTTCTTTATGATTTCTTATATTTACGCGAAGACTACACATTAAATGAAATTAATTTTTACGGATTTGATCACGCTTAATTTAACTTTTTAATTGCTGACCTTTCGGGTGCTTCACAGCACCCATGGTCACGGGGGAAACTGAGGTTTTTGACGTCCAGATGTCATAGTTAGCCTGGCTAAATTCAGTTTCTGAATATTAATTTTTGGTCTGATCTACGCAGAATGAGCTTACAGTATCTTGAAGTCTTACAGTGGTATGCTTGGGTTTGGATTTAATTTTATTAATTATAGGATGCCAAGCAGATGGCAGCACCCATCCATCTTCTCTATTGAAATTAGGATGTTTTTTTAATTTCGATAGCCTCGCTAATCATCCTTGGTAGGAATCGGTGTCCTTTTGCGAGGATTTGTGGTTCAACTATGACATAGGGACGTCAAACACCTCAATCCCCTCTGTGACCATGCGTGCTGTAAAGCACCTGAAATGTCGGGAATTAAAAAGTTAAATTAAACGTGATAAAATCCGTAAAACTTAGTTTAATTTATCGTTTCTGTTTATTTTGGTTGTAATAAATTGTTAAATGGCACTGAACATTTGTGGCAGTAATTATTTTTAGTTTTTTATTGTTCACAGTTATATGTTAAAAAAATTGTTCTGTAGTTTATTTCTAAAACCAGAAGATTATTTTTCGAATAAAATATTTTTTTCCGCAAAAATCGATTATTTTTTTTTTGATTATTATCACAAAGCAAAAAATCGATTTTTTATTAATCGATTTTTTTGACTCAATGTCACATCCCTATGTAGATCTCGCACTCGCAAAATACTTGAAACAACCAATCACGTGCGTTACTGCGTTAACGTTCTCACTGTCGAATGCGAGTGAATGCTCGATGGTCGATATCGACGACATAATAAACTCGCACTCATGAATTGTGATTCCGAATATTGCCACTAGTTGGCGCTGATTTTATTCCATACAAATTGTAGTTAACTTTCTCGGTATCGAACGCGTCAAAAACTCGCACTAGGCACACAGAAGGTCAATAATAATATTTCGTCTTAACAAGGTTAAGGCTATTAAAGCAGTTTAATCCTTAAATTTTGGGGAACAAATATTATTTTTCAATATAATGTGGCGAAACCCGTATTTACTTTGTAGAATTTTATAATAAACAGCACGAGGTTTAAAATTGCTTTATTAGAGACATATTGCCAATTTGAAATATTTATACAAGATTCTATATGGAAAAGAAAGAAATAAACTTATTTCTCTAATTTCGCTTCGCTCACATACACGTTTCAACATGCGCCCCGCTGCAGTTTCGTATTCGTTCTTATCATACACAGCATAACATTTGTTTTTGTACGGCAGCGAGTGCGTGATGTTATAATGATATCACGAATCACGATTCCAAGCCAACGCAACGTTGCAGCATTGCGTTTCGAAGGTACTCTGTGCGTGTATGATCGTTATAAGAAATAGACAGTTATGAGCATAGACGTTTCCATAACTGTCTATACGTTATAATGATCATACATAGACCATAGACATAGTATCTTAACCATAGACATAGTACCTCCCGCCTATTTCTATCTCAAAAGCATACGCGAATGCTTTATCTAGTCAATCCTCTATCTACAATATAGACATAGTCATAACTATGGAACTAAGGCCGCCATTTTGTAAATGACATTTCGATGTCCGCTATTTTTTATTCAGAGTGTTTTTGAAAAGTGCAAATGAAATGCCTAAAGCTCTTAAAAGTGATGCGCGGCAGATTATTCTAAAAGTTTTATGAAAGAAGAGAAACGTTTACAAGCCCCAATTATACACCCCCCCCCCCTACCCTAGCCTATGAATTTGGAGTATATACATAAAAAATACTGGCAGACGTATTTTAAACAGCACATTTCAAAAATATTAATTATTTAAACTGCACCCATGTAGTTTAGAAATAAAAAATAGTTAAGGATCGTTCACCTTATAACGTCGATATTACTTCAAATAATTAGAATTGAGTACTTTCTACAGTATAAAAAAAAACTGCACCTAGCTTGAATATAATTGCATCATCATTAAAAATGCAAATTTCTTAAATGGCAATAGTAAGCACTCCACTAGCGAATCTGTCTACAACTGAACAGATATATATATATATATATATATATATATATAGATTATAAGTTGGTGGCGTTGTATATTTTTTATTAAGATTTTTGGCTTGGATGCTTGTTCTTTAAATCAAGTCTTCGCATCTCAGAATCAAGTGATAATAATCGTTTATAGTACATTGTTTTACAATATGTTGATGCGTCACATTGCGTAGTTTTTGGGAGATTATGACGACAACTTGAGCCAGCAGACAGTTGACGATTGTATCTCATGGTGCCTAAACAGACAGATACATTATCTTGAGATTCACGTCACTATCGGAGCACTTGTTTAGTCATTTCCACTTTTAAATATCACAGTCCACTTCAAACCATTATTTAAACAATAATACAGGAGCAGCAATCCGCCGCCGGTCAAGTTTCCTCCAAAAACTCCCCACAGAGTTTAATGTACTCTATGTCACAGAGTACTACCATCTGTGTAATAAATACTATTTAATAGTGGGTCAACTCTTTTGTTATACCGCAAAATACCTACAAGGCTGTCTCAACGTCAAGTCGCTAAAAATATGCAAGGGTTCTCCCAAAAACAATTCCTTAAATAATAATATCATAACATTATATTTTATAAGTACTCCTAGTAATAATGTATTTTTCTATACAAAGATACAAACTAATTACTACTTTACAAAACTAGTTGCGTTCCGCAGCTTCACCTGATTCATCGTGACGGAAACGAAGGCTTATACTGGCCTACCTACCACATTGAATAAAACTACTTTTACGGATTTTTTCGCTTTTAATTAACTTATATATCTTATTTTTATTAATTCCAAACGTTTCGGGTGCTTTACAGCACCCGTGGTCACGGGGGTCACGGGGGACTGAGGTGATTGACGTGAATGAACTTACTTTGTCTTGAAGTCTTGCAGTGGTATCCTTGGGTTTAGTTTTAATTTTATTAATTACAGGATCAGAAGCAGGTGGTAGTACCCAGCCTCCCTCTCTATTGAAATTAGGATGTTTTTTTAATTTCAATAACCTCACGTACCATCCTTGGCAGGAATCGATGTTCTTTCGCGAGAATTTGTGGTTTGTCAAATCTAATGTAATGGCTGGGGCCGTCTAGGATATGATCACAAACTGCAGACTTCTCGGAACGTGAAGCACCAACGTTCTGGGAAACGTTCCTAGAACGGGTGCTGGAATAGTGCTGGAATAATGCTAGGGCGTATGTAGTGCTATACGAAGTTTCCCTAATGCTGGCCTCCGTCTGGGATTCCACGATCTTCCTACTACCTAAGCCTACCAGCTTGCCGTGCCGCGAGCTAACGGAGTGTTGGCCTACCCTCCTACCAACGGCCATCATCACTGTCGGGCTTAGGTATCACCGGCTCCTTCTGCTAGCTCGCTGTCTACGACCCTGAGGGAACAGCGCTTGGACTTCGCCCCTACGTCAGGCCAGTGATCCCTTCATAGAAACTTACTTGTACGTGTGCGGAAGTAAGATAAATAAATAATT